CAGAGTTCCCTTGGTGCGGTTCAGGACTCCGATGTGACGGATCTCCACGTGATGGCCCGGATCCAGGATCAGGAGCAGTGCCATCCCGCTGATTATGATCAGGAATGCAATCAGGTCCTCCAGGCCCCGCACTGGGACCGCGATGCTTAGTTTTCCCGTCGGGATCAGCTCTCAGACAACCGAGGCAAATAGGTCGAACATTCGACCCAAAACGGCGCACATCGTCAGGTGAAGCGATGTGTTGATCGCAGTACTCGTCTTTGCATATGAGACACCTCACAAGCCCGTGTCTCCCCCCTCTCCCCCTGCATGCGCGGCATCTAGGAAACTGATCGCTGCACTTGAAACACGAGTTACAATCATGGTCAAAGCAGTCTTCGCAGACTGACTTGCCGCAGCTTCGGCATGGATAGCGAGGTTCCCGATGCTGTGGATGACCGGGCTCCTCATGAGCACACCTGGCCCGGTTATCAGGGGCAGCGCCGGCAGCCCGAGCAATGGCCCTCGTTCTAGAGGGATCCCTGCCGAAGATGAGGGCTGATGGTGACGGTGGGGGTGGCCCCGAAGGAGGTGGAGGTGGAGGAGGCCTCGCCGAGCTGACGGTGCGAGCATCACGAGGAGGAGAACCTCTAGGAGCCCTTCCCTGGGTTAAGGGATCAGTGTCTCCAGATTTCTCCCATGATCCCGTTCCGGCGGTCAAAGCAGCGCCAGCACTTGAAGATCCGTAGGCAGCGGGAGGTTGCTCCCTCAACTCAGCGATCTGCATGTTGATCTCATTGACCCTCAGCACAAGCTTCATAAACTGCTCTTGCATGTCCCTCGGATTGGGGCCTAAGCTTTTGTCATGAAGGTCCTTGACGCACTTAGCAATACGGGACAATTGAAGCTTGAACTCTTCCTGTTTCTGTGAGTTCTCATTGAGGGCTCCGGACACCCTATCACTGAACTGCTTCAGGTCGGTCGCAGGAACGAGATGCTGGATATACGTCTCGACGTTCCCACGGATGGTTCTTTCCCTTGAGATGGTTCCCTCAATGTCGATGACACTGCGAGAGTTCGCCTCAACTTCGTCTTTGATTTTCCGAACCTCAGCCTCAAGGGCCCCGATCTCGGAGAACCTAAGGAGCTGGACCTTAACGTTCTCAAGTGATTCGGCCTGCTCGCGAAGTTCAGCAGCGGATATGACGATCGAGTCAGATCTCTCATCATACATCTTGAAACGCTCATTCATCTCCTTCTCGCTTCGGGCGACCCACTCGTGGAAATCACGGAACTTAGCCTCGTGTTTTGAGAGAGTTCCGGCGACGGCAGAGAAAGATGATTCAACCTTCTTCTCGAAGGCGTCAACACGGTTATTGATCTTCTTGATCTCACCGACGCAAGCGTTGATATCATCCCTACATGACCGAATCTCAGTTCTGCATCCCTGGATTTCGGCCTTGCACCCCTTGACCTCGTTGTGGATCGCGAGAAGCAGTCGTTGAAGCTCAGATGCAACAGGATGGCCGCCACTTGTGGAAGCAGACGGAGCAGGACGACTATCAGCGTCGTGATCTCCGCGACTATTTTCTTCCCTGTCTGGAGTGCAGCCCGGAGTTCCGATTTGAAAGAATGCGGGGACGAGGGAGTCGTTGACCGGTTGATTTGAAGGAAGCCCTCCATATCCAGGGGCAACAGTGCTAAGTCCAGGTCTCCGGTTCCTAGGCGTAGAGTTAATCCCGTCATCAGTCTCCTTCTCAGACATCGGGGCATTGGAGCTGAGCCCAGACCCCGCAGAGTGGATAGGAACATCAATAGGATCGTGATGAGCTGGGGGATTAGATCGCAGTCGCAGAGCAGCTTCACGTCTCTCGGGTGACTCAGAGCTCCTCTTTGTGGCCCGTGAGTCAGTGCCGGTTTGTCCCGACACATTATCGAATGATGATGATCCGCGGAGTTGAGCTTGATCTGGATTAGGTTGAGTGAGATCAAGCCGTTGAGCAACGTCACCATTGAGTGGCTTAGGGGAAAGCACTTTGGCAACGCGGCCCGGTGGGAGCGATGTAGTTCGTCTCTCTGGTGTGACCTCGGCCTCATCGATTACATCAAGGATCCCAGGAATGGTTTCATCATCTTCATTTCCTCTCCTGGGTGGCTGATGGAAGGGGATGTCGAGGAGGTCAAATGGAGTAGAGCCAATACCAGGTGTATCCTGTTCGGATCCATCGCTGGTACGGTGGCTGGACTGCTCCTCGAGGTCGATGACGTCGGGGGCGGACTCTTTTCGAGTCTGACGCCGATTGAACGCCGCGAAGAGACCGGCATGGCTTCTTGACGAAGTGGAGGAAGGATTTGGGCCTGCTGTTTCGCGGCCCGCATCCGATCGATTAGTACCTGATGCCCGATTTGGTGGATTTGAGCCCGCGTTGTAGCGGTTCGCATCCCGACCTCGGGTACCTGAGGAAAGCGGTGGATTCGGACCAGCGTTGTAGCGGTCCACATTCCGGTCGCGGGTACCTGACAGGTGAGATGATACTGCGTCAGGGATGAAGTCCATATCCGCCGGACTGGGGTGATCGTGAATGATGTCAATGTCGGATGAACCTGAGACGGGAGGAAGGCCAGCTATCTGCGGCCAATCCTCAATCGCCCGTTTGCCCACCTCGGGTTGGGCCGAACCTGCAACATGAGAAGGGGAGAAATCTTCAATGGGGTCATTTTCTCCATCATGAGGAAAACCCTGAGTAGGCTCATGCGTAGGCAGGGCATCACAAGATCGGTCAATTCGGGAAGGCTGAGACTTCCAATCAGCATCAAAAAGGGATTGAAAATCCAAATTCCCAACCGAAATGGGGGCACCTGAGTCAAAGTCGAGCCGACCGAAATCAGGCGGTGTAGCCTGCGATCCACTGCCAAGGAGCTGGTCAAACTGATCCCATGTAAGGGACCATGATTGAGCCGGCTCCGGATGAGCAGCATGATGGACAGCCCGGTCCTCGATCTGGAGCGCCACGAACGGAACAGTGGGCGAAATCGATGAGGGCACCTGATTTGGAGGAACCTCAGCCTCTTCTAGAGGGGGTCCGTCCTCGATCTGAAGCACTGCCGCCGGGATAGGGGCCTCCGCATCCTCATCAAACACGACCTGAGAAAGGATCCAATCGTCCGTGATCACCCCGGGATTGGGCTCTGCGCCCACCATCGGGGGAATGGGCCACAGCCGGCTGTCTAAGCCGGGGGCAGCAGGCGCGGCGCTGCCGCGAAGGGCGTTGGCCTCGTCGTCCACGAAGCCCGGCCCACGATGAGAAGCTCCGGGGGACGCCATTGCTCGTGCAAGTAGGCGATGGGAGCAGGTAGCGGGTCACGTCCCGCAACCGGATCACCAGCCCCAGCTTCTAGCTGGTACGGCTGATAACCTGCGGTTTTGGGCGAACACGAGGCAGCCCAGGGAATCAAAGAGGTACACGTAATCCACGAAGTACCAAAAGAACCCAGTCTCAACGCACAATGGAGAAGGTGCTGATGACCAGGTTGTGGGAGTGACAGTTGAAGAAGATCAGGTTTGGGGAGGTTAGAAAAGGGATTGCAAAACGGTAGTTTGAGGGACAGGCCCAAGGACACCTCGACGGCCCACCGAACACCTCCTACCCCCAAAGCGCCGCGGCACCACAAAGCTTTTTGCGGTGACGAAGAGCGATGCCAGGATATGGCGTTCGCACGCGAGTCCGAGGGGAACTTGACGGGAGTTCCCAAAACTTGAGCCAAACGGCCATTCGGCCGTTTTGCCACATGAAGAAACAACACGTGAACAAAACACAAAAATTGAGCATTGAATGCCAATGTTCAAGAACACCTACAGATTGTATGGAGTTCTCAAAATTCCAAAAAGACATCAGTAAATGCAAAAAAAAAACGAGAAGTCCACACAAATCACAAACTCCAAAAATATCACCAACTGTGTCTCGGATGGTCATTCGTACATGCAAGATTCCCAAAACACAGCCAATGTTTAGGAATTCCAAATATTCACCTAAAAGCAATTAGTATTCTAGATAATTCCCACCATTCCCAAAATGCCCAAAAGTGCCAAGATCTCAGCAACTATGTCTGGAATGGAAATTCCAGAAAAACCTGCAGTAAATGCAACATTCCCAAAATTAATCTCGCAAAGTCTCCAAAACGTGCAGCTATGGTTGCTGAGACAGTGTTTTTGGAACTTCCATCCCAGACATAGTTGATGATTTTTGGAATTCTCGAGGTTTTGTTGGATTGTTGCATGTACTTGGTGTTTGACTTAACAACTTATTGCGGTTGCTGACGGTGTTGTTGGGATTTCCATCCCAGACATAGTTGTTGAAATGTTGTTGCTTGTTGAATTCTTGAGTCGGTTGTTGGAGATTTTTACATTTACCGCTGTTTTGCTTTTGGATTTATAAAAAGGGGACTGTCTCCTACTAACCTTAACCTGGGTTTCTTTGCCTCGTAATTGTGGACGACCTGTCTTTGGGATGTGGAAAAACTCTGCGCTCACAGCTTTCAACGCCCTAAACCCCAAACTTCTAAAAGTCTCAGCATGCAGCTGAGAGCACCAAGTATTCTCACCCTGCGTTAAAGCCGCGATTCAAGAGGTGAATTTGTGCATTTGGGATGAAATAAGCCACACATCTCAAGGATCACCTTGGCTGGCTCAGTGAAACCCCGAATATCCAAGCCACGGTATAACCAATCTCACGTTCCGGAAACCCCCCCATTCAAGCGGCTGAGTGATCAAAACATGTGTTTTGTTCATTCGACGTCGCAGCGGAATCAAAAAGAACACCTCTTGCCGCATGATCACAGCGATGGTGAAGCGACAGTCCAACGAAAACGGTGCGAACCATAGGCGTCCTTTTTGGAAAATAGATGGCCCTGGTAGATGATTGAACCACCAGGTAAACCAGGGCCTTCTATTTTTTCTACTCAAACCAACCAACAAGGACACCTACGGTGCGAACGCTCTCTGATGGCGATTTCGGTGTCGCCTGCTCCTCCTCTCCCTGGCGCATCCTTTCCCTCCGCAGAGCCTACGCAGGCTGCTGTCGCTCGATTCGAGTCCGGTCACAGAGAGTTGCCAGAAAGGAACAGTTTCGGGGTGGAACCCTTCGACCGGTTCCACTGGGCTCGTAGGAATTGACCGGAAAACGCCCGCCATGAGTTTGAGTGCCGGCACAGGAACTGGTGGCCAAATTCGATCCGGATCGAACTTGGGGGTCCAGTTACGCCACGAGTTCTGGCCAAATTCGATCCAAGTCACCCAAGCTGGTGAAAGGGAAACCCCCATCCTTCGAACAAAAACGGTCATTAAATAAAGACTCCAGAATCACCAAACCAAACTGGAACCCCTATCAAACATCCCTTGTGTCATTCCAGCACCAGTAAGCCAAAGCCCGAACTTCCGCCCGTCGAAAAAAGAAGAAATCAGAAGAAGAAGAAAAAATAAATCCGAGAATCCGCCTCGGCGGCCAGTGCCTCCACACCCGGGGTTCGTAGAGAGCGAAACTCATGGAAGACCCTGAGCCGAGACGCCCTCGAGGCTCGAGGCTCGAGGCCCGGCGCCCAGCGCCCCACCGTTTTGAGTGCGCCCGTTGTGAGACAAACTCGCCGTATCCAACTTGGGGACCATTCCGCATGGGCGTTGCTGTGGGTTTCTCGAATCACCATCCAAAAAGGGCTGCCAGGGATTAAACTGGGATCATAGGTGGCCTTTTGGAAAAGAATGAGATGTGCAGTGCTGCAGCTCGGACCACCTCAGCCTGGACTGGTGTGCTATCAGTTGCTGGTCGGCGGCCGTAACTCTCCTCTACCCCCTCCTCCTCCCTTAAAATAGAAACCCATCTGAAACAGTGCAGCGCGCAAATCTATTTTGAACACGTAGCATCTTCAAGCGGCGCGGTTAGCTCCCAAAAATGCCAACGATTCCCGTGCCTCCTTGCCACAGAATTCGCCGATTCCATGGAGTCCGTCCGCATCATGTCGCCGTCCTGCATGGAAAGAGCTTGGAACCACATACCCCGGGCGGCGAAGGAAATGCATATGTTAATGTTCGTCCCAACGCATGGGTGCCTTCTCAAGAGAATGCGATTCAATCAGGTCCGAGTGTTCAGTTGGTTGGTTTTAGGCCCCCTGCAAGAGGTCACTTTAAAAAGTTACCCTGGTCACCTTGGCTGGCAGGAGAAACCAAAATGAACATTTTGGGAGGCAACCCTACTTTGACACGCTCTCTTGTTTGTAGGGAATTGATAATTTACTTTGGGACATGTACACTGTTCTTCGGTCCAGAGGCCAAGGTGGCATGTCCAAAACAGTACCTGTGGTGATAATTGCCTTGGTTTCCACTTTCCACCTACAACGCAAATGTATACACATGTACACATATATATATATATACATATTATGCATATATGTATATATGTATTTATGTTCACATATTTAGATATATACATATGTATATATTTGTATATAACCCGGCCCCGATTCGGCCTCTCCGATCGCCCGGTCCACAGCGCCGGGCCGGCGCTCTGGCGCCTTGTCCCCTGCAGGTGCCCACATTCCCCCCAGGGCGGTCATCCCAGGTGGAGGGATGTCGGGGTCTGGGATTCGCGGGTCTCGCCCAAAGGTTCGGCACATTTGGAAGGGTCCACTGTGATCCCTTGATCACAGTGATCTCAAGCCCCCCGCGATTGGAAATCCCACTCTTTCAATTGTCACTCGCCCACTTCCTTGCGCCCGGAATGGCTGTAGCCGCCCCTCGCAAGTCACCTAGTCCTTCAGAGCCGAGTGGATACTTTCGCGCTGGAACGCGGTTCATGCCTCACCCTGAAATAAGAACCAGGATCAAAGGAAGCCTCTGAATCAAAATAGCTCCTCGCGTTTACCCTAAGCACATGATGATGTAGCGCGGGCGCTACCAGGTGGTTAAGCAACCAGACCCAGTTCGGCCTTTGAGAATAAACTGAAAACATGAGACATGTTGAAACATGGGAATGGTCACACAATGAACTGTTGAAACATGGTGCGCACACAGTGACGGAAGGGCTAGCTGCCCTGGCACTCCTAGGGGTGCTTCTACTGCAATGTTCAAGGGCATCACAAACGCAGCATGTTCAACACCTGTAAGCGGGGCAACCTTTCGTTTGACAGACTTCAAAATGGGTAAGGCACACCCACATGGTCAACACCCGAGCTTTGGTCTGCGCGACTGTTCTTCCAGCCTGTCGACGTCTCCCGGCGCGAAAGCAGCTCAAGGCACCTGCCCGCTGGTAGCATTGCTCTCCACGCCTTTCTTGACCCAAGCTTGCTTGAACATGTCAACACCGTCGTTTTCAGCAGAAAACTTCTAGTCTCCCTAAGAAAAAAACTAGGGTTGTCCCCAACCCTCGAAACCCTTTCGGAACTCTTTCCCAGAGCCTCTTTAAAGCACGCCTGAGCCTCTCTCGGCAGAGACCCCACAATTTTGGGCTGATGGGGAAACACACACACACACACAAACGAACATGGGCGTGTCTTGAGACAGGAGACCCACCCCAAACTGGCTGATGTTTGTGGTTTGCCCTCAAAGTGACACACGCAGACACACAAAAAAGAAGAAGACCCCGCAGCCTATCTGGGCTGAGACCCCAAAGCTGTCAGCTGTTGTGGGAAAAAAAGGAAAGGAAAGAGCTTTGCACGCAACCCACAGCACAGCCAACGTCCCAAGATCTCGACAAGTGGCTATTGCTCAAAATTCAAGAGCTGGGGTTACGGAGGTTTTAGTTTTTGGTTCCATTTACTGAACCACTGCCAAGTCGCCTCAGCACACTGCTGGCCACCGAGGAGGAGTCGCTGCGCTGCAGCGGAAGGTGCATCACCACCGTGGCCAGAGCCTCGCGGAGGGCCTCGCCGTGCGTCGGAAGCGCGGGCTGAAACGCGGATCAAAGATCGAGACATCTATCCTTCCAGGGACCCTTAGAGGCCAGGATTGGTCAACTTCACCTGGTCAAAATGGAACCAACGACCAAAACCTGCGTCTTGAGCCACACCCAAATGGCCATGGGTCCAAATCCAAAGCCCGTACCCCCGGTGAACATCCCAATCCAACCACGAAAATAGGTCCTAAAATAAAATGAGTGGTGAATTCACCAATCCAAGCAAATAAGATCCCATTGGTCTTAACAACCACAGCCAAATGAGAATCGGAGCATTCTTGCCTGGAGGGTATGTCAGTGACCAAGGGCGATATTTCTCACGGGAAACCTGCCAAAGTTTGACACTTAAAGACAAGACCTGAAATCAAGAATTGCCGCCGGAGCTCGGAGCTCCATGGCTTGCACGAAAGGGCGGAAGCGGCGTTTCCCCCCAACTCTTTCAGTCCGTTCCAGCCCGCCGGCATCCGCCGGAAGGGTTTCGTCTCGCAGACCCTTCCTCCCCCGGAACCAGTCAGAGGCCTGCAGCTCGGCGGGGGTGGCGAAGGCCCCGGTCTCCTTGCGGATCCTGGCCTCAAATCGGTCCAAATTTGGATGCGGTTTTGGAGGGTAACCCCCTCTTCTTTCTTTTTTTTTTTTTTTGGGCGGGGGGGGGGGGTGGGGGAACTCCTAAAAACAGGCACACCCGTTTTGAGGCCACTGTTGGTGGATCTCTATTTCGCTATACTTTCCTCAATATCTGTTTGGCTCCTCAGGGTTTTCCTTGCAGGATGAGGGGTGGCTTTACGGCCATGGAGGGTGTCGCTTCCACGTTTGTCCACCAGGCAACGGAACAGACATCGCCGCACCACGCCTTCTTCGCGGGCGGTGCTGCAGCGTTCGCGCCTGCAGCAAGTGGGGCATCCATTTCTTGCCACTTGCCAGCAGGAGTTTCCTCATATGTCCTCCGGAAGAGTCACAAAGACCAAAGGAAGATCATCTCAAAATGGCCGAGCAAGTCATGCTCATTCTGGACGGCTTCCGCTACCGAACCAGTACCAAGGAAAAATGGAGGGCACTATCCAAAGCCTGTACATATATGTATATACATATATATATATATATGAGTACTCATATATATATATATATACACACAGAAGCGCACTTTTGCGTGTTGATCCCATGAAAGGTCTGGGTTCTTCCTTGAGAGCGGTTCGGAAACCTGGCTCTTGGCATCCGCGCCGTTGTCCAGCGCCGCCAGCCGCGGAGAATTGGCGCCCTCCTGGCCACCGAAGCTGCACCGGGCGGTCCGTTTTCCTTTTCTTTTTTTGGTTGTGTTTGGTCGCTTTTGCTTGTTTGTTTTTTTGGTTGGTGTTTTTTTGTTTTGTTTTGTTTTTGCTTCTTCTTTTTTCTGGCGAGAAGTGTTTAGGCTTGTGGTTGAGTGGGGTATCCCCCCTAAGGAAAAACCTAAGGAGCCTTGAAAACCCTTTAAACAAAGAAGAAAAAAAGCAAATGACGAAACCGAGCCCTCAAAACCAGAAGGAAAAAATTGCGAAACCCTGAAAACTCAGAAAGACCAAGGGAACCCGAATGGGCAACCACCGAACTTATGGCGCCTTTGTGGCTCGCTGCGACAGAAGCACCCAGACTGCTGTGAAATGGAGCGTCTAGCCTTGGGGTGTTTTCCCTTTGGGTACGACTTAATGGAAATTGCCAAAGGTAAACAAAAGGTGGCCTGAACTCATAGACAAATCAGGATGTCTTGGGTCAATCTGATTCGATCCGTGGCAAGCATGTTTCTTGATGCCGAGCCCATTCCTGCCGCAGGCTAGCCGGGCTTTTCGATGCTCAGCTGGAATCTACAGGTTCAGAAGGCCCATGTAACGAGCAGTTCCGGGTGGTATCCCAATTTTGATGGTTCGGCCAGGTCTTCTCCTGTCCCCGTTACTCCATACCATCGCCTGGTTTCCCCCTTTAAAAACAAAACACACACAAAGGGAACTCTCTGCCCCGATGACAGGTGTCCTGGTGGTCGCCCGAATCCTTCTCCTCCTGAGCACAGCCAGGGTACATCCAAAAACCTGCTGAAACGCGGATCAAAGATCGAGACATCTATCCTTCCAGGGACCCCTTAGAGGCAAGGATTGGTCAAATGCACCTGCTCAAAATGGAACCAACGACTAAAGCCTGCGGTTTGCCCTGCCTCTTTCATTTTGAGCCACACCCAAATGGCGATCCAGACTCGTGACCCCTTGGCACCCGAAAGCCTTGCGATCCGCGGCAGCTGCTGCACTCAGCAAGCGCGCCACAATGGTGGAAGTGGTCGCCACCTGAGTCGCAATCAAAACCTGGTACTAAAATGGTCGATCCCCAGAACCATGTACAGGATTAAGAAGGCGGAATTCCGCTGCTATTTCTGGCTGGGATCGTCCCTTACCAACCTTCATCTACCCGGGTTCTGATTGTGGCTCACATGAGTCCCAAAGACTTCGCAAAGGACACCGACATCAAAGAAAAAAAGCCCATCGAGAGCCTGATAAACGCAGGAACGACTCATAGCAAGGCACACGGAGTCTGTCAATGAAACCTGAATGGAAACATAAAATCGAACTCGTTCCCAGCCGGTCCTGCCTGTGCTGAGTACTGGCCCTTGTCTTCGGCTCGGGGACCTCGTGGCAGAGAGGGTGGCCACTAAAAAAGGAAAATATTGGTGTCTTTTGAGGCGACCCTTCTTCAGCTTCCCTCTAATTGGTGGCTTGGTGGTTACAGGAGTGGCAAACTCCATTTCCCCCCTGCAAGAACCAGGGACCCGTTCAAATTCAAATCCAAGCCACCAAGCCACCTATCAAGGGTTGCTTGACTTCTCGGGCTTAAGGACAAGCCGATCCGTCCGCTTTAGCCGATCCGTCCGAAGGCGAGAAAACACGCGCGAGCGCAGTCCGCCTCCGTTTCGCTCTTGGCGCCGGGCCTTCTGCCAGCGACCGCAAAGCCACCACCACCTGCAATCTGGAACACACGGCATCTTCTCGGGTGTGTCTTTTTGCAGGGAAAACCTGCCCCGAAAAAGAAGCCTTGTGGTTTGCCTTTCCTTTCGCCACACAAGAAGAGGTAGACCCAAAGATGACGAAAGGACCCCTTTGAGAACCCAAAGAACCGGCCCCAAACTTTGAACAAAGTGATACCCCCCCAAAACCCATGAAATGATCAGTTTCCCTCTAAGCGCTTTGGAGTCCTTGTTCAGAGGCCTTCCAGGGAAGTCTTCCTCTACAAAAGCCAAGGCTTCAAATCCAAATTCAATCCAGCAATCTAAACCGTGGGTAATCTGACACCGACAAGGATTCCACTCTCGCCACATGGCCATGGGTCAAAATCCCGTACCCCCAGTGAACATCCCAATCCCCACTCGTACCCCCAGTGAACATCCCAATCCCAACTAAAAATAGACTAAAATGGGTGGTGCAAATGGTACCTACCAACCAAAATGGGATCCCACTGGTTTTTGCCCCCATGTCCATGTTGGCCGAAGGAAAACTTTGACGCAACGCCCAAGCGCCGCCCAATTCGACGCGAACCGCCCGGCGCGTTGCAACCCGCCCGCTTCGCTTGGCCCGCCTCGGCCACCAGCATCCGCCGCGGCTCCCCGGGATGCCGGGCGGCTGAGCACAGCACCGCCTCGGCGATGGTTCTTTTTGCTTGTTTGTTGTTGTTGAAAATGTTGATGTGTTTGTTGCTTGTTTGCTTGTTGTTTGTTTGTTTGTTTGTTGTTTGTTTTGTTTGTTGTTTGTTTTGTTTGTTTGTTGTTTTGTTTTGTGTTTTTTTTTTCCGGAAATGTTGAAAGTTTTGATTTTTTCCCCAGGGAAATGTTGAGAAAATCCGCCCCAGGCGGAGTCTTGGAAAAAAGCAAATACACCCAGGGACCACGGGTAACAAGAACAAGAAGAGTGGAGATTCCACGAGCATGGCAGCTGACAGGTCCATGGAGATTGATCTTCCTTCCAAGTAGCCTCACAGTTGCTATGGCAACGTGGGAGGGAGGGTCCGTCGGTACATGGGGAATAAACCCATCTAAACCAGGGAAGCCCATCTCAGAGACTAACGAACCGATCAAAAGGACACCTATGAAAATTCGGGCTGACCAAAGATCAGCTTGCTTCCAATTGGTGGTTTGTATTGTATTGGTGGTTTGGTGGTCGAAGGCCCGGGGTCAAGCGGGGGTCACCTGACCCCTGCAAATGATTTTGGCTCCAAGAGGAGCTTCCTCTGATGATTTCTGGCATGAGAAAGCTGTAGAGTAAAATGGGGTGTCGGACCCCCAAAGGCTCTCATGTTGATTTCCCTAACCAACCTGAAATACCGAAATCAACTTGAAGTGTCAAAGCTGCCTTTGCTCGAGGGCTGTGCAACGTGAAATCATATCGGAGGGGGGAGGGAGCCAAAATTACCTCAAAGCCCTAGGGCCTCGTTGGGCTCCCTCCCCCCCTGGCCCTCGGCCAAGTCTGCATAATTAGTCCATGGGGTCTGGGGGAGCGGCTCCCAAGTGCGGAAGCAGCCTGCGATGGAAGTGTCAAGTGGAGCGTCTTTACCTGTTCCCAGCCCGACTTGACGTGCTGCCATGGGAACATGGCGCCTCTTTGTACCTGTGACCATGTATGTCCGACCAGCCTCGTTCGAGCCAAGGCTTGAAAATAGGGCACTTGAATGCAAATGCCGAATTCAGGCGCCTCTGCACCGGATTGATGGAACCAGACCTCGGTCTAGCAGTTCGCAGCTCGATGGCTCAACCCTGCGAAAAGTGTTAACTTGTTGCACCTTGTCCGGCGTTGAACTTGCAGCAAATGGGACAATCATCATCGCCCAAAAAGTTAAAGTCCAAAGATCCAGCCAAACAGTAGCTAAGCCGTGCGAAAGTGTGGCTCCGCTGTCAGCAAGTGGAATCGCGCACCAGCTTCCTATTGGGTTCCTGTTGATGTGACTTTGTCAAATACTGCAAGCAAACTGACCACATCCAAAAACCTGTGGTCAATTGCAGTAACTTCCATTCAGATTTGTCTTAAAATAGAGGAGCCCCCAAGACATAGGTGTATTCCGTCTCTTTGGGCAGCCTTAACTCCCCCCAAAAAATGAATGGCAGCCTCAAACAAATGTACGGTTCACTCCTGCATGTTTGAGGCACCTTCAAAACAATCCCAAGAATATACATATATATATATATAAAACACGGCCATGGGTCAAAACCCAAATCGTACCCCCAGTGAACATCCCAATCCCTACTAAAGTAGGCTCTAAAATGGGTGATGAATTCACCTACCAACCAAAATGGGATCCCACTGGTTTTGACCACCACAGCAATTTTGATTTTGGAAGCATCTTTTGGGACCCAAGAAATAGTTTGTGTTCCTTTGGTGTCCCTTTTTCAGGGACCCTAAAAACAGCCTCCAAAAAAAAAAGCATTGCCCTGGCAACCGCCGGCGTTTTGGCCGGCGAAAAGACCCTGGGGCTGCGGCAAAGCGCTGCGCTGGGAGGGGCGCAGCAGGCTCAGCTGCTTTGGCCACAGCCTGACTCGTTCCATGGCCTTCCATGGAGTTCCGTGAAGTTCATCCCTTGTGGGTGTGGCTCAAAGCTAAAGGGGAGGGGTTACGCCCATTTTGGAAGTCCGGTTTGTTGAGCCCCAGCCATGTGGCTGCGGGTCAAGACCCTACCCCTTCCGCCCCAAAATGGAGGCATAGGCTATGACCCATCCCCATGTGGCTGCGTCGTAAACACGGGCAATTTGAATTTTCACCCGTTCCCATTGTCTTACCCGGGTCTTTGGTGTGTGTGTGTGTGTCTGTGTGTTTTACCCTCTGGTGTTTGGCCCCAACGGCAACCCTACAAACTCCATGGATCATTACATCTGCCCAGTTGTTTCATCGTGTTGGCCGAGGAGTAAAACGAGCCCACGCTGCATTGGTTTACTTTGGTAGGCCAAATGTACAACATTATGTCCAGCGCGGTATGCATTGAAGTTCACGGCGATGAGTCACAATCAAGGTCGTATCAGTACAAGAACCAAGGGACACAACATAAACAACTTGACTCATGAACTTCACCTCAAGTGAACTGATGCGCGGTCGCGGGTCGGACATGCGCAAAGTCCAGCGCCGGAATGGGATCTAAAATGATGTATGCCTTCACTGTAACCCTTATCAAAGAAATGCTGAACTGAAGGGTAGAAGCCCTTGGGGCCAACAGGATTAGCCCACCTGGGAATGATTTCAGCGGCATATGCTTCTTTGTGCATCGTGACCAGGGTTTTTCTGGCCCTCACCACCCAGGAACTTTGAGTTGGCCCAAACAGCGCTGCAAGAACAAAAACAACGAAAAGGGACACATGTAGCTCGGTTGCTTTCTGCTCCCCCTGCTAAAAGTTCAACTTTTCGTGGTATACTACGGAAAACCCATTAGTTGGCAAAAAGGTAAAGTCCTCACATCCCTTGGCAGAATGCACCAGAGGTAGGGCTTACCAAAGAAAGCAGACCCGTCTCCCTGGGGCGCGGAGCTCGCTGAGCTGGGCCAGCTGTGGCAAGAGGTATCTCATCATGAGGAGCAACATGCTCCTGCCAGGTGGCAGGGTTGAGGTCCCTGCACTTGGAGACTTGAGGTCCGTGCGCTCGATGAAAGCGATGATGATGATGCAGGGTTGAGGTGTTTTCGGCTTTTTTGACTGGCCCCGGCTCACAAGGCCTCCCTATGTGGCCAAGCATGGCCAGGCGGCCGCATCCCCAGCATCACCAGCCCTCGGATGCCTGCCTTTTGGCTTTGATTTGGCGGCTCGCGCGTTCGGGAGAGTGGTTTCGGCTTGAGGTCTGAATGAGGCCGGGTCTTGGGTTTGTGGTAGGGTTCATTTAGGCTTAAAACAAAGAAGAAGACTGATATACAGAGGACGCTGGGAGAGTTTCAGGTTGACTTTGAGTCACTTTGGGTTGACGCTCTGCGCTAGGTGTGCGCCTGGTTTAGCAGTGGCTTTTGTGGTTTAGCCCTGATCCCAAGGAACCGGGGATGCTTTAAAAAAAAAAACGGTTCCCAAGTGCAGGGCAAATCAAAAAGGCCTGCTGATCAGGTGCGTCTCAAGATCTGCGAACAGGGTCTGGACGTTCCTTTTAAAACAAAAACCTGACTAGATCACGACCCCGGATTCAACTCATGGAGGGTGCTCGGTCCCCTCCATGAGAAGGATCCAAAAATGAACGGGACACACACACACACACACATTCATCAACCAAGGGCTTGCAAATCGGGGATCAACATGTCCCATGTTTCATCCCTCAAAGCTGCCGGGCACGCTTCTGGGCGGGAACTGGGCCGTCAGCATCCTGGCGGAGCCACTTGGTGTCTCGTTGTGATTGAGGGGAACCCTCGCCTTTGCAAGCCCAGTGGATGGACAAAATCCGTTTCGGACCAATTGGAACAACCCCGAGTTGACTGCTTGATAAACCACCTGCCAGCTGGTTACAGGTGTCCTGTATTTTTGGAAGCACCGATTTCCCAACTTGGAGACCCTTGAAACCGTTGCCCGATTGGTAAATGGACACAGGGACAGAAAAGCCTGCGGACCAATTCCTGGTTCAGTTTTGGCCAGTTCGTACCCGTGTCTAGCACATGTCTGAACGTGCACATTCATCAAGGGCGCTCACGAAAAAGGGCCACAACCTGGCTCCGATGGGCCGTATGATGAGGAGGATGAGGTTCGGTATGTGGTAGAAAAAATTGGCAAGGGTTCCTCTTTGGCTTCCGTAACCGCCCAAAAAAGGGTACCCTCAACGAAATGAAAACCCATATCTGTACTCGTCTCGACGCCTTACATGGGTTTGGCCATGACCCCCAAATGTGTGGCGTTTGTCTGGGTTCCTCTCCAAAAAGACAAAAGGATATACCAGCACCAAACAAGGATATCACGAAATGCCGGACTTCCCCTTCTCCTACGACAACTCCAACAGAACAGCCCCGACTCAGCTTGGTTGACGTTGGAAGGGGAGCAACAATTCAAATTTTAGCAGTTGAGTGGTTGGATTTCAACCACTAAACCACAACAAGCAAAAAACTGTAAAATGTTTCCCAACAACAACCATGTCACCTGGGAGATAGTCCCCTTGGCCCTCCTTCAGATCTTGCGGCAGCGGAGGCTTCAGGAACAGAGCGCTCAGGCCCTGGGTGCGTTGGAAGACGCCGTCAAGCACCTGAGAGAAAGGCTCAGCCGCCAAAGGAAGGATGGAGTTACGGTTTTGGGGAGCCTTAGGGAGTCTTAGACAATCCCTTGGACCATCCCCCCTTGGGGTTTCCGTAAAAAAAAAAGTTCGGAAGACCCGAGTTCCAGAAAACTGACCCAGACCCTGGCGATCTAGGTTGCTTCCACTGCACAATATGCCTAGACCGATGGTTTGTTGTCCACCAAAAGTGACTGATATGCAGGTCTTAGCCAATCCTGAATCTCCCACCCCGAGTTCCACATTCCGCAATCCTCCCAAAAAAAGTGGTACTTCTTGTTTGGGGTGTCTCAAAATAGGAGAGCCCCCCAAACTCTCAAACCCGGGATTCTCCATGGTTGGGTTGGTTTCCCTTTATGCCTCAGGCTCCGGCACAGAGCACTGAGATTGGACCTCAGCGATCGGATGGAGTGGGGGTGGGGGTGGGTGCAGTTTCCAGCAGCTGCAGTGCAAAACAAGGCCGTAGGCAGCAAAACCACCACACACACACACACAAAAAAAAAATGCTCTTGCTTCTTTCTGCCGAGAAACATCGGAAAATGATGCGTTGTTTTTTTGGAGGGTACCCTTTTTGGGCAACGGGAAATCAAAAGGAGAGCCGAAGCCGGTTCCTCCCAAAAGACGAGCAACCCGTCTGGAGATCCAACTGAGCCCGTTGAATCCGGCTGCATCTGAGACCGGCGGCTGAGAGCAAGTGGATATGGAGGAGGCAATGTACCCTCCGGCAGCGGCTCCTAGGCATTCGATGCGTCCGTCTTTTTGTAACTTGTCTACGAAGATTCAAGAAACTTCTATATTGCAATCAAATTCAGACGTGGTGTGGTATTGTGAATTGCTGTTCTTGCTGTTTTTGTCCGCAAGTCTATTCCATGGTTCGATGGTCTCGAGACTCTCCAAGACTCGGCTCGCAGACCTGAGCAACAATGCTCCACACATGCTGAAATGCGAGATCAGGGCAAGCCAATTTACAGAGCAACCATATAGCATAAAAAGGCTTACCTACCAGAGGGCAATGTTGCACAAAGTGGCCCTTGCCAAAACGTTTCGCGTTCCACTCCTCTCCCTGCTCCAAGGCTTTGGATGCCACTTCGTGCAGCTTCTGAAAGGAGCTCCTGGCTTGTCAGGCACGTATCCTTGTGCCAAGCAGGGCAACTCAACACATGGCGTCGGTGTGTCGGGGTGCGTCTGCGGGTGTTTGCAAGTGTGTGGGTGTGCGTTTGGGTACCCCTATCCTCATGCCCACATTCAATCTAATTCCAAGTAGCAAATGGCCTGCACTGGACACTGACTCCAAAGCACAGCTCGTTCACGAGAGTCCTCGGTAACAGCTGCACGACTGCCTGGTTTGTGCCTATAAAAACAAGGCACTTCTTGCTTGCCTGGCCAGGGAAGCAAAAACGCCTCTTGGACTGTTGAAGCTTGTCTTGCTAGGATCGATGTGGCAGTCCAAGCAAGCGGGAAAAACATGAAAAAGCGGAGACCGGCAAAACGCCTAAACCACAAATCATACTCAGCCCTCTGGTGGGCTTACTACCTGTTTGTGCATCCACCAACCATGTCTGATGGCGTCCAACGCTTCGAATGCATAGCCAAAAAAGCACGACAACAGGGAGAACGTGTCTACAGCGCCCCGAATCGCCATCTTAGGAGACCGATTCATTTGAGAGATCCCCCAAAACAGGACACACCCAAACGGTTGCTCCTTTCAGTTTGGCTCAAGGAGAAACAGAAAGGAAAGCCACCATGTTGCGGGGTTTCCCTGTGACACAATCCCAAACAGAATCATGAGCTGAGTCGGTCTCCAAGCAGGGACACCAGCCTGCGTGGGAAAGCCATTCTTCCTCTTCTTCCTCTTCTTCTTCTTCTTCTTCTTCTGTCTGTCTGTCTGTCTGTCTGTTTGTCTTTCTTTCTTTCTTTCTTTTCTTTCTTTCTTTCTGTTCTTGGCAAGGGCGGGACTCTTTATGTTCTTGTTGCACCCGGGTTCTTTCTCCAAATCGCGCAGGCCGGAGAGAGACGCCACCGGCCACCCCGCCCCTCTGAGGCCGAGAGGCTGCAGCACCAGCAGCCCCGGCGCAGTGCCCAGCCGCAGCTTCGGACCTGGCGACTCGTTTTGTTCGATCCGGAGCCCGGAGCCCAGAGCGGGGGGGGGGGTTGATGCTGCTGCTGTTGTTCTTGTTGTTCTTGTTGTTCTTGTTCTTGTTGTTGCTGTTGTTATTGTTCTTGTTCAGCTCCAGGCCTCGGATTTCCCCAGGGCGCTTGGAGCTATGCTATGGCTTACATGACCAAATTTTGTCAGCTTGTCAGGCGGGAACAAAACAACCTTGAGTCGGAAGAAAGCAGACGTCAAGGGCATTTTGAGGTATGGGGTGTGGAGCTATGGAGGCTTACGTACCACCCATTGATTGGCTTGGGCCATGCCTCCAAGTCCTTTTCCTCAGCTTTCAGCTTAGGTCGATCCCAGAAATCGGCGCTTGCGGCAGCTTGGGAGGGGTCCATTCATAGATTCGGCGGCAGGTCCCTTTTGGGCTGCGGATTCCTGGCTGGGCTTGGTTTTGGGGTCGGCTTGGCCTGTTTGGTTCTGAAGTGAGAAGGGAGACACCAACTCAGCTGGATCGATCTCCGAGCGGGCTCCGATTCAGAGGCCGAGCTGACTTTGGGGAAAAAACATTGCCCAGGGGGGATAAACCCAGGTACTTGGGGTAAACTACCTGACTGGTGCAGGATTGGGGTTTTCTATACCTGGCTGGTGCAAATGATTTCTTGTCCAGGGTGAAACCAGCTCGAACATACTCAAACGGGACGGGTTCTCGAGCCTTGCTGTCCCGTAGGAAATTCCCAGCCAGAGCGCACACTCCCAGTCAAAAGTGGTGATGAAATCTGGCCAAATCATAATCGTGTGTACCCCAGATGCGGGCCGAGGATTCTCGTGTACGTCCCTTGCTTTGTTTGTCTCGGGGGGTTATAACACTTCACCCCCCGAACACTTCTCGTGGCCCAAATGAAAGGGCCCAAAACATGCTTCGCCCAGAACTCGACCTCGCGCTTCACGTCGCTGGATCTGTGAAACCAGTTGGGTGGTTCAGCTCGGGCAGAGGGAACCCAACGGGTTCGACCAAAAGGGCAAAAGGGAATATGCCCCAGAACTGGCCTCATTGTTTACTGTCCCGAAACCCAATTAAATGTGTGCGTGTGTGCTCGCGCTGGTGTTGTGTGCCTTTTGTGCTTGTGATAGTGCGTGTGTTTGTCGTTCCGCTGGCAATTGGGTTTGGGTCTTCGTGTCTGTGTGTGTGGGTTCGTTGCGCGTTGTGTGTTTTGTGTGTTTTGTGTGTTTTGTGTGCTTTGTGTGTGTGTGTTGTGTGTGTGTTGTGTGTGTGTGTGGGTGAGTGGTGTGTCTGTGTGTGTGTGCTGTGTGTGTGTGTGTGGTGTCTGTGTTGTGTGTGTGCTGTGTGTGTGTTGTGTGTGTGTGCGTGTGTGTGATGTGGGTGTGTGAGATTGTGGGTATATGTGTCTGTGTTGTGTGTGTGTGTGTGTTGTGTGTGTATTGTGTGTGTGTGTGCCTGCATGCGTGCATGTGTGTATCCGTGTATGTGTGTATATATACATGTATGTATGCATGCATGCATGCATGCATGCATGCATGCATGCATGTACATGTACATGTACATGTATATGTATATGTATATGTATATGTATATGTGTGTATGTATGTATGTATGTATGTATGTATATGTATATGTATGTATGTATGTATGTATGTATGTATGTATGTATGTATGTATGTATGTATGTATGTATGTATGTATGTATGTATGTATGTATGTATGTATGTATGTATGTATGTATGTATGTATGTATGTATGTATGTATGTATGTATGTATGTATGTATGTATGTATGTCTTTGTGCATGAGTGCAGATGTGGATTTGTGAATTTGTGTATTTGTGTGTGTGTGTGTGTGTGCGTGTGCGGGCGCAGGCGCGGGCGTGGGCAAGGGTCTGGGTGTGCGCCCGTGCGCGTGCAGGTGCGGGTGCGCGAGCGCGTCTGCGCGCGCTTGGGCTTGCGCTTGCGCTTGTAGTGCTTGTGTGTGTGATTGTGTGTGTGTGTGTGTGCGTTTATGGTGCTTGCGGTGTTCCGGTTCGGGCTTGTGGTTGTGTGCTTGTGCATTGTGACTGTGTTCGTGCTTGTGTAATTGTTGTTGCTCTTGTCGTTTTTTGCTTCTTTGGTTTTTCCTCTGCTTATTTGCTTGTATCATTGCTTCTTTGCTTGTTCCTTTATTTCTGTGTTTCTTTCTTTGCTTGTGCCTTTCTTTCTTTGCTTATTTCTTTCCTTGCTTCTTTGTGTGTTTCTCTCTTTATTTGTTTGTTTCTTCGCGTGCGCTTTTACGTATCCTTCCACTGGGTTTGCGCAGACTGGAACCCTTGGTGTCCTTTTCGGGCGGCGAAACAGGCCAGGCCCGACGCTGGCGCTCGCCCTCCGGGATCGGCTCCACCCTCAGAACCGGCGGATTTGTTTCGTGGTCTTGTTGGAACCATCTTCCGGAGCTCAGCGTTAAGGGAAGCCCCGCGCAAGCTGGGGACTCTCTCTTTTTCTCTTCACCCCTCTCATTCGCCTTTACCATGGTTGTGGGAGAGGCCGTCTCGCTCTCCACGTCTCTCAAGCTTGCACAGACTGACTTCCAGCGACTGCTTGGGCCACCAGCATTAAGCTGTCCTGGGAGCGTTTCTGCGTCACCGCCTCGGTTCTCAAGCAAGCGCCGAACGCGAGCGAATGAACTCCAGTTGGCGCCGTCGGGCTGATGTGAGTGTCCAAGAATGGTGGCGTTCCTTTTCTTCTTAGAACCAACCAACCGCTGGTTCCCCCGGGAAAAAAAAAGGACGCCACCCAAGACCCAAGTGGGCCTCAGCTGCCAGCCTTCATGGCCTCTTCGAAGACCGAGGGGTTGCGGCTCATGAGATGGTACGAGAGGCGGCAGAGATCCCTGCCGGGCAAGCAGAAGTTGTTTCATTTTGCAGCTCCCTGGCTTTTGTGGACTAGCAGAACTTTTTCGCTTTCTCCCTGCAAAAAACGCTGCTCCCTGGTTTTTGGGAACCACTTGGGCTCGTCCCCCCGCGCTCCTGGCAGGCATCTCCCGCCGTGCTCCAAACTGCGACAAAATCTCGTTCTCCATGTGCGACTGCAGCGTAGGCCTCAGTTCGCAACGAGAAGGGAAGAACTGTTGTTTTTTTGGGTATGCTTCCCTCCTGGACCTTGGCAAGGGCGCTGAAGGCGACAGTAGTCAAGGTCAAACAAAAGCTTCCGGAAATGATTAGGTAGGGCAACAAATCGTAGCTGGTACAAAAAACATTGGCAAGGGATCGAACAGCTGAGCGGCGTTCACGACATCTCTGAGGGCTCCGCCCATCTTCCAACAGCATGCCCAGAAACTCCGCCAGCATATGGAAGAGCCTAGACCAAAGCAACGCGCCCCAAAAACCGTAGCAGCTCATGGCTTAGTCTTTGAGACAAGCATATGACTACTGGCAGGATCGATCTTCTAGTGTGTCTTCCAACCCGGTCTGGCGCGGAAACTGTAGGGTTCCAAAAAGCAAAGCTGGGCTCCCAAAATGGGCTTGAACGTTCTAACCCATGGATTTTTCGGGGAACCCCAGCGATGTGGGGGTCGACCTCCAAGAAGCGGATTCGGTCCTTTAAAAGGCTCCGAACCTGAAGGATAAACACTCACCCTGGTTGGCTGTCACTCTAGTGGAAGGCTTTGGGTCGCTATTCCCTTCACGCCAAAGCCACTGCGCGAAAACGCTCGGCCCGCGGCCCGGTGAAGTGGGCCGGCTTGCTCACACGGAGCAACCTCACCGGCTCGGAAATTTGGCTTTTGCCAAGGGATGTGTCTCACAAATGGGGGGGGGGGGGATTTGTTGGGCCCCTCAAATGGATGGTTTTATGTTGGTGTCCTTTCAGACGCCAATCAAACCTGGTAAGGGCTTTGCCCGAAACCATGTCATACAAAGAATCACTCCTATTTATGACACCATGCACAATTGTCCCGCGTTGTGACACAATCCTCTACACATAGAATAATATGTATTAATATACATATATATATATTATATATATATATATATACATATATGTATTATATTATATATATATATATATATATCATTATATCATATTCTGTATATATATATATATATGCACATACATTTTTATTATACGTGTAATATGTGTACGTGCATATACAACCACACACAAACGCACAGAGCTTCCGGCAGCTGCACTGCGCGAAGCCCGGTTTCTGGCAGCTCCTCCGGTGGGGCGCTCCGCATTTTTGTTGACGGGAAAATCCCCAAGGGAAATGTGTCGACATACAGTGGATGGACGAAATCCTTTTCGCCACCACTTTGAAACTATAGGAAGAAAAATCGCTTGTTGGCATTTACAGGGGGATCGTATCATTGCAGGGTTTCTTTGGTGGTGCGAAACGGATTTCGTCCATCCGCAGGGGGGACCTGTATTGTAACCGTTGTTCTCCGTTTGGCTTGCCTCTAAACCAACCCCAACAACTCTCCAGAATCCTCATGGTGACCCCTCGAAGCCCAGAGCAGCTTACCTCACCATCAGGAAATTCGCGGGATTCACAGGAGAATCTCCTGAGATCCTGTCGCTTCTCAAAGAACCCAACCACTTGAAACGATTGAGTCAAAAATTGGCCATTCATTATTTGACCATCCAAGTCACCCGAAATTCAATGTTAGGTTAAAGGGGAACAGCCAATTTCACGTTATAACCCCCAACTGAATCAAAATAATGAATCCAGTCAAACGAGCTTGAAGCGGCACCAGCTTCTGACTTCGAGAAGCTGGGTCCCGAAGCTGTCTGGAAGCTCGGTTTGCTCGATGGGTCCCCACAGCCCTTACATGACTCCATAACTCTGCAACCATTTGCGCCAACCAACCTGGACTTTCAAACTGCCCATACAACAATTTCGGGATCTCGCCCCAACATCGCGGGCTTTCCAAATAGTTCAAAGTCACCCCCGGAGTGGTGGGTTGAAGGGAAACAGCCCCATTTTCTGACTTTGATAACCCCCAGAAACCGTCAAAATAATGACCCCTGTTTGAGGCTCGGTCCAGAAAATCTCCGTCCGGGAGGGCTGGTGTCCTATTCACAAGTTGCCCCGCCTCCACTCCTGCGAACCTTGGCGTATTGGAGGACACCCGTCTGGTTTTCGTTGCTGCTCGTTTTCTTGCTTGTGTTGCTCCTTGCGAGCACCTGCGGTTTGCTTGGAGTTTGTGATTTTCAAGTGCATGGTTTTCGGGTTCACCGACACTCCTTGTTTTGTGTTAGGGGAAACCAAGCACGCCCTTGTTTTGTGTACAAAAGGATGCCCACAGCCGAGCATGAAACTCGCTGGCCGATCTTGCCGCTATGGCAACAGCTGAGCTTCCCAGGTTTGGAGGAATAGGACACGGACCGGGCCCCCAAAACGGGCATTTCGGAACTGTCCTTTGGGTTTCCTTTCAACACAAGAAAAGTACCAAGCCCTCAGAGACGATTTGAGCGCCCCGCCGGTTTCTGAGCTGGTAAGATGTGACGGCTTTGACGCCAATGGAGGTGCCACAAAGCCGCAGTAGCACCTGAAAGTGGCCCCTCGCCACGGCCACGGGCTCCCCTCATGGATTTCCCTGACCGTATCGACCGTATCGATGTTTCGCCGCTTTGAGAAACACTCAAATACGGGTGCCTTTGAAATCACACAGGGCAGCCGCGCAGTTTCTCACATATCGGCCAAAACATGCAAGAAAACGTCTTGCTCGCCACTGGCCCAGGCCAAAAAAAAACTTTGAAGAGGCATGCTCCTCTCCTGCCAAGAACTGCGCAGGCAAGAATATGTGTGGACAAGGTCGCGAGATCAACACCTAAACATCAAAACGGCTTGGGGTCCCGAACAGCACAGCGACGCAAATAAAGCATGCCGCTGACTGAAAGGACCTCCAGAATGAAAACAAAATACACACACACACACAAAAACAAAGAAAATAACCCATGCGAAGCCCTGAGGCCGTTGCCTGCATGCACGCCTGCAGAAGACCTCCGTCCAGGCCAGGGAAGGCATAGACGATATCGAAGATCAACGTGACCTGGTGACTTTGCGAGCGAGCAGACTGAGGGGTCTGATCCAAGGGCCGGCGCGGATGCTTTCAGCACACCACGGGGGGTTCCGGTACATTGCCGCAGCCACACGGGTTGTCTCCAAATAGGGGGACCCGCAAGACTCAAGCCCAAGATGGTTTGGGTTCCTTTGGAGTCCCAAACCAGCCCCACAAAGGCTATCAGAAAAGACCGACGCAGTCCGCTCAGCACCGAGCCCACTTCTGGTACAAGTTCGGATCCAGCGCCTCAGCGGCTGTCAGAGGCCGTTGGAGTCGGCTGATCTTGTCTATCTGCTGACACCCCCTGCTTGCCCTCGAGAGATGCTCTCGACATAGGTGTCCTTTTTGGTTGTTGTGGTAGAAAAATAGATGGCGATTCCTGGTTTACCTGGTGGTTTAATCTACCAGGGCCATCTATTTCCCCTAAGTAGTGGTTTAGATTGTTGGTTTGGATTGGTGGTTTGAAGAAAGAGTAGCTTAGAGGAGTCCTCCATCAACCCACAAGAATCCGGACTACCCCCGAATCGAAAAACCGTTCCAAACCTCTAAGTAAGGGCTACCCAAACCATGCATGGACCGAAAAAAGCCAATGAAGGGTATCGACCCTCATGAGAGGTTTGGCTGGGGAGAAGCCGTCGCAAGCCCTCCAGGCGCTGCGTGGCAACCAGAGCGCTGGTCCAAATTGCCACGGCCGAAATCACCTACTTCCCCCCGAGGACATGGGCCCACTTAAAATGCTCCTGGTGGTTTCCTTCAAAAAAAAAACGGCGAGAAAGCGAGCCGAGCCTCAAGAAAAAATGACGAGCCCTTGGAACATGTGTGCCTGGGGGGTTTTGGTGGAACTGAGCCCGAGCGTTCCAACCAACTCGTCTAAATTCCCCTAAGCAAACCATCCCAAACACCGGGGGCACGTGTCACCAAAATGGATGGCGCCCTGCTGGTTTCACGTTCAAACAAACAGGCAAGCAAGCAAACAAAGAAACCTGGGGATCAAACCCATCCCTTCCAAACCAGCCAAAAACCAGAGAGCCCAAATTGAGAAAACATACACGAAAAGCTTGTGCAAGGCCACTGTGGCTTTCCCTTTGAACCGAGAAAAAAAGAAGAAGAAAAGAAACAAAAACACAAGAGCGTCGAGGTCAACGGCATCTGGGGCTTCCTTGCTTCGCGCTCACAGCGCAGCTTCACCAGATCGATCTGACGATTCCCAGCTTCGTCAGCACGAAACGGAGTGCGTCTGGTGGGAATCATTGGACATCTGGGTGTGGGTCAACACAAATGGTACCATTTTGGGGTAGGTGCACCTCACTGGGGGTACGGGGTTTTGACCCATAGCCATCTGTGGGACCCTAGGGAGTAACCAGAGGTCCCCAGAAACATGGACCTTGTGAAACTACCCTCACGCCCAACAATCCGAATCCTCTCCAGTCCAGTCGCAAGCAAGCTGGTATTCAAGGCGAGTCCCCAAACCCATGGAAAAGAATGAAAAGACTTTATCGCCCGGGCTTGTCCCCTCCTGCCACGTCTGAACATGGGCTTTGGAGCTTGCCACAGGTTCCAACACATCTCGGTTGCTTTCTGCTCCCCTTTTAGTCGTTTAATGGAAAACCCACTAGTTGGCAAAAAGTTAAAGTCCCAACATCCAAGTAAAATGCACCAAAGACATCCTGATCTCCGAGTCCTCCCCTTCCCGTGCCGACCAACCTTCAGCCCATCCACCTCTCGTTTCGGACCGAGAGCGGCCGGCTCTTCCGGCTCTCTCGCTCTGGATCGATCGCTCGACGCGATCCTTGCTCATGAGCTGGTGGGCGCAGAGCAGCAGAGGCGTCAGCCAGGCCGGCGGCGCCAAGGGCTCGACTGCGCGACAAGCGCGGCCAAGGGGCGCGGGTTGAGGGGGGTGAAGGATGAAATATGGCTCCTTTTTTGGAGTTGGTTTGAAGGGAAACAAGGAAAACCACGCAACGTGCTCATTCAAGGGTCATAGGTGTAAAGCAAAATCTTTGGTGAGGAACCCATTTTGCGTGGAAGGTGAGACAACTCGCGACCATGAAAACGAAGAAGTGAAGCGACGTTGGGCTTCTTTGCCACCTTTCAGCTCGGGTTACTGGACGTGCAGCTGGGGTGGGGCCCGGTCGTCCAGTCCCCCCCACCCCCCCACCCCCGTTGGAGGCTAGGCCTTCTGGTGACTGCTCGAAGGATAAGCTCAAAACTTGGAGAAAGGAACCCACACATCTTGGAAAGTTGCAATGAATGCCGTCTTTGGGTGGAAAAAGGAAGAAAAAAAAACGGCTTGAACCCCTACACCAAACCTTCTGGATCCAAACCTGCAGCATCCAACCCCCTCGGACCCCCGGACCCCCGGGACCCCTCACCCGCCGCTCCTGGCTGCTGTGCTTTCGCAGCGCCGTACAGCGAGGAGTGGCCGCGGTCCTCAGCGCTCGCCCGATTCGAAGCCATGGACCTGTAAAGAGGAATATGGGTGTCGTTTTTTTCAGGGGACGGGTCATTCCTTGACGTTCATTTGTTGAAGGCGGGTAGGAAAGTCTCAAAAAAAGAAAGAAAGACTGGACGGAGCTTTCAAGCGAAGATCCCTTGTGGTTGGATTGCCAAATGGTTGACGATGATTGCGATGTTGCAAGCTGCGTATATCAAAAGGTTCAGATCCAATTAGCGCCGCTTGAAGCATAGTACACCTCCGCATATGTTTCTAGCCGCTGCGCCCTTGGTCTTCCAACTCATTTGGTGTGGCCCTTCGCCCACACGCGGCGTTAGCGTGCCTTTTCCGAAAAAATCCACCACATTCACATCGTTTTGATTTCTTGGAATGGCTTTCACTGACTCGTTGGTCACTCTATCTACGCTAGTCTGAGGCACGCGAGCGAAGAATTCTGCGAAACCCTTTCAGTTGAAAAGCATTCAGCCTATTGAATTTGAATCATATGGGTCTGTCTCAAAATAGGGGGACACCCAAAATGGTTGGCTTCCTCTTGGTGTCCTTTAAAACCACCAAAACGCAGTACCCTCAAACAAAAAAACACCCCATATAGAGGCTTGCTTCGTATAATAGCGTGGAATACGTGAAGCTTCCACTTGATTGAGTTAGTTCTGTTCAATAGTTCTTTTCTGTTGTCAACGGCATCTGTGAGCAGAGTGCCTAAATATGGTGCGGAGCGCTCTGGGGACCATGGAACCACCAAGAAACTCGATTTGGGACTGTCTTCGGCTTTTTCGCAGGTTCACGCATTTGTCCAGGCTTAGCTCCGTCTGTGTTGTAATATTCAGATTCTGTCTGTATTTCGTGTAGGAGGCTGATGTGGTGCGTGTAGTTGCCAAATAGTGGGAAATACGAGTCTTTCAGAGTGGCTCATACTTCGGCGGGTAAAGCCAAACCGTATTTGCGAATAGAATTGACTGTGAATATAATTGCAAATGTGCTAGCCTCCCCTGAATTCGCCCCTTGCTGATTGCAGCTTGTACAAAGCTCTTCATTGAGAACCTCTGCCATAGGCACGGCTTGCAAAAAACGCTGACAGTTCGACTGCCGAAGCAGTTAAAACTTCTTGCATTGGGAGAGAAGGCGAGAACAGACACGAACATCGCAAGCTACGTACGGCAAAGATGGCAAGAAACGACAGTATGAAAAGACCAAATGAAAGGTTGCGAAATTAAGTCCGCAGAGGTTTCCCCGCTACCAGGGCTAGACAAGCTACGGCAAGGCTAGGCAAGGCTACACCAAGGCTACGCCAAGGCTACGGCAAGGCTACGCCAAGGCTCGCCAAGGCTACGCCAAGGCTACGCCAAGGCTCGCTTGAATAACTCCAAAGAAATGCCAAAAGTGGGTGGAGCGCAACTTCCTGGCATTCTCATCCCAGATGGGGCAATGCCCTCAACATGATACTTTTCACCAGGGAAAAGGTCGACGCAGCACATCAGCATTCCCCGATGCCTACAACATCGCCAAGGAATTCCGTTTGACCAAGTACTTAGACATGTCCGTGGCATTGCAACTACTTGCCGTGCAACCGCCCGATTGATCAGAGATGCCATTGATCAGTTGGAGTTCGTAGGCTGTTTGATCATGCAAAGGGTCCCCATTTTTAAAAACCACATGGTGGCCAGCAATTCCAAGCATTAAGCATGCCGAACTGCAGCCAACTGGGCAGCGGGCAGAAGGAGACTTGGAGTAGTCAATGCCTTTTGCGCACCTTCCAAAACAAATTGTCAAGCTCAGTCGAAGCCCAAATCACATGTGTCAGTGTCAAGTGTCAAGTCACGGCAAAACAACTTGCGGTGCTTTTTGTTTCGGGGTGCCCTTTTTGGGGTTGGTTTAGGGAATCCAAAGCAAACAAACTTTTTATTGGGTCCCCAGATTTTGACACATGGGTGTCATTTTGGATGCTACATGTTTTTTGTGTGGTTTCAAAACAAAACCAACATCCCTAAACTCAAACCACCATTTGTCCCAAATATATATATATATATATATATATTTATTTATATATATATATATCAAAAAGACACAGAGCCACACGTATTCGTCCGAATGCGACCCCAGGAGGCGTGCCAGCGATGCAGCTTCAGGATCAGATCTTTCACACCCTCGTCTCCTCGGACACCGATGGACGCATCAGGCGACTCGTCGACTCGTCCCCTCCCAACCGTAGGCAACTCTGGACACACCGCAAATTTGACCCTTTGGCGGGTTGGCCCTTCCCTTTTTTTCCCCAACAGCTGAAAGCTTTGGGGTCTCAGCCCAGATAGGCTACGGGGTGGTCCGGGGCGGCCCCGAGGTAAGGCTCCACGAGGGTTCCACCAGGGTTCCACCAGGGTTCCACCAGGGTTCCACCACAGTTCCACCAGGGTTCCACGAGGGTTCCACCAGAGTTCCACCAGGGTTCCACGAGGTTCTGCGAGGGCTCTGGGGTGGTGCGAGCACTGAAAAGAGCACCGCGTGCTGTTGGGGATGTCACCTGAGCTTCGAGAAAACCAGCGGAAACTGCGGAAAGCCCTTTTTGGGGGGTGTCCTATTCTGACTACCCATTTCGACCTGAGCTCGTTTCGAGCTTCCCGCTTAGGCCACGGCCCAAGGTTTTGCCGGTTTGAGGTCGCCGGTGGATCAAAGTCGCCAAGATCTGATCCGAAACTCGATGCGCGTTGCAGCCCTAAATACGGCCTTAATAAGGGCTTAATAAGGGTTTTTTGGGGCTCCCTCCTCTCCCTCCCCCCCAGGTTCCATGACCTTTATTCTTGCTGGTGCTCAGGGAATGAGAAATGGAATGACCCTTCTGCGCTCCTTTAAGGGAATCTCTGGGTTCATTCCCTCATTCCCTGTAGCAAGTGAATTGTCTTGGCACGGAAACCCACCAAAAGGCGCAGGACGGCTCCGCCAGCGACGCCCAGCCTGCGTCACGCAGATCAGCTTTTCCTTGGCGACGATTGAGAAGCAAACCGCAGGCTAAGCAAGCCAATAGCTCTCTTCAGAGCTCATTCAGGGCAAGAGGCAAGGAGCACACAAAGTACCGGTCGAAACAAAATCAAGTTATGGCTGTGGGTCAAAAATGGGTAGCCAAAATGGAACCCTGGTAAATGAAACCAACGACTAAAACCTGCGGGTCCCCTGGCGGTTTAATTTTGATCCATTCCCTTATCCTCAAAGTAGTCAGATCGGCCCAAACGGATCGTCGCAAGGTGCTGGAGTGCTAAACTGACGCTACCGCTACCCAGTGATTGTCATCTGTCCCATCGATGCTGAGGGCTCGTCAGGGCGCTCCGGTTCATCTCCGAGCTCTTCAACGCAGACCTTTACAATTGCCTGCCGTCAAAATACCATTAGGAAATGGGCTCAGCTGCAAAATCCTATGTCAGCAGCAAAATCCTTTGTCAGTGGCAAAATCCTGTGTCATTTGGGGGCACAATTCACGCTGACCGTTGCTCACGCTTGTTTATGAAAGACAGGGTCAGCTTCTAGCCCCCAACACTCCAAACTCACTCACATGTCTCGCCTTCGCGTTGTCATCGCTCTGCGGCTTTGCTCCCTCTTTGAGCCCTCCTTTCCATCCAAAGGTGGCTTTGTCCTCCTCGTCCTCCTTACTGGGCTTCATGTCCTTCGACACCGGCTTGCCTCCCTGAACCTGCAGGCACGCTCAGTTCGTCAGGGAATTCACCAAATGTTGAAGCCACCGAAAAAAAAAAAAAAAAAAAAAAAAAAAAAAAAAAAAAAAAAAAAAAAAAAAAAAAAAAAAAAAAAAAAAAAAAAAAACTGCCGCTTGCCTTTGGTTCACAGCTCCATCAAAACAATGCTCCGAATCAAAACAAAACAAATGCTTGGTGGCTGTCTGTTTTCAGGTGTTTTCCAAAAAAATGTGTTTTTTTGCTTTTTCTTTTTCTGGTGGTCCTTGAAAGCCACCGTGGCGGCTGCAAGTCGAATCCGCCTTGAAGTAGCCGCCGCCCTTATCCACCCTCATGTCCACGCAGGGCGCAGGGTCCTCTTCACCTGACCCGAAGGCACTTCGCCGATTCCAAGGTGATGTATTCAGGGAATGGACATGGTGCTAATCATATGGCCGTGGGTCAAAACCAATTTGGGATAGGTGCACCACCCATTTTAGTGTATTTTAGTGGGGATTGGGATGTTCATTGGGGGTACAGGATGTTGACCCGTGGCCATATGTCAGAGGGATTGCACCAAAGAAAGCTGGGTCTTCCTGTTGGTTTCCCACTGAAACGTGAAAATGGAGAACCCAAGAAAAAGCGCACACGCAAATGGAGAGATGGCCAGTCCGAGTTTCCATGTTGTTGTTTGGGTCTACCATCCTCAAGGCTGCGAGCTCCAGAGACAGAAAAAAAGAAGAAGAAAAAAAAAGAGAGCCAACTCGGCGAAGAGGCAACCATGCAACTGTTGCCCCAGATAAGTGTTCGCCCACTGAATGGGTGTCAAACTGTTTTGTGGGAATCTGATCACTTTGGGGACACAATCTACGGCCCTATGATTCATACCACGAAAAATGTGGGGGGGGGGAGGAGCCACCTGTGTGGCCATGGGTCAAAATCAAGTGCCCCCAGTGAACATCAATCCCCACTAAAATAGACTCAAATGGGTGGTGAATTCACCAATCCCAACCAAAATCAGATCCAAAAACGGTTTTGGCCACCACAGCCATATTTTTCAGGTTGGACCTCTCTTGACACCTCTCTTGACACCTCCGGACTCGACCAATCCCAAGACCCCGGCTTCGCCACAGCGGGGTGTCGATCTCCGCCAGGGCGGTCACCACTTCCGCCACGGTGCCCAGCGCTTTCGGGACCTGCGGAAGGCGCTGAAGGCACTGCTGGGATTGGCTTAGGAACTCTGCTGTCCTTCGATGTGTACATGGGTGTGGCTCAAAATGTTCAACAGGGGGGGGCAAACCGCAGGTGTTGAAGTCCATGTTTCCACTTACCAGGGCAACCCATTTTGGTATTCCGGTTTTTTGAGCCACAGCCACATGTATACGATTAAGAACTCCAAAACCAGAAGCACGATTACGATCTACCCAGAACCATGCTTCAAGGATTAAGAAGGCGGATATCCGCGCAGCTATTTATGCCAAAGGATTTTGAGCACGTGGCTCATGTGCGAAATCCATTTCGCACCGTTCAGAAACCCAGGTTTCTGATTTGATTCCCCCGGAAAAAAATACCAACACACAATGGCTTCCCATGGTTTTATTTAGTGGGGTAGGAGTTCGTCCACAGTATGGCTCCATTTTGGGGTGGATGAACATCCATTTGCCACCTATCTTGATGTTCACCAGGGGGTGCAGGGTTTTGACCCACAGCCATATGAGCCACAATCGAAACTGATCCAGTATTAAAATGGAATACCCAAATCCCATGCAAGGAAATGCCGCAACTCTTTCTGGCCGGCACAAAACAGCTTACTAAACTTCATCGACACGAGTTTCGATTGTGTTCATTTGGACATGTCTCCAGATCGAGGGCCTCTTCTTGGGTGATGTCTAAAGGCACACCAGCGCAAACAACCCCTCAAAAAAGGGGCCCTTTATTTCAGACACGCCCATTTGACCATTGTCAAAGTCGCCCCCCAAGTGAAAGGGAAAGACTCACAATTCCTAACTTTGCCAACCCCTAGCAGTCGAACTCATGACCCCAGAACCATGTAAGGAAGTAAAAGGGCTGCAAATATGTCTGGCTGGGATTATCCCTAAGCTTCATCAACCCGGGATTTGAGCAAGCTCACTTGGGTGTTCGTGGCTAACTTAATTCACCGGTACCCACTAGGTTCGCGTGGGTTTTTTTTGCGTGGAGTCGACCCTGTCAATAGTGGGTAATCCAGGTGGCTAACCACCTCGGCCAAACATCCAAGTAGATAATCCAAGACCATCGTCTCCCAACCAAGAAACACAAGACAGGAGGAGAAAACCAAACCAACAGAGCTGGCATCCCTTTCGGCTCTGTGATGTGTTTGTGTGACAAGATCCCTCTGGGCCCTGCCTGATAGCCGCAGGCGAACATGCGCGGGAGCAGGTCCTGGCGGGCAAAAATCCTCGTGTCCTCTGTGCGCGGCAGGGTGTTGGAAACCAGTCAACGGGAACCAGATACCAATCCACAAGGCTATACCCCTTTTGATTTGGCTTAGCGCAAAAGACCGCAGTCCAGCCTCCAACAGGCTCTCTCGAAGCGTCTGATCGTCATCTTGCGCCACCTGAGTTGCCCGTGAGTTGCCACGGCGATCCTAGCAATTCTTGCGAAGGCAATGGAGCACCGCCCGAAACCGAACCAACCACGCGTCGGGATCCAAGATTCGGCTTCACGTGTTGGTGTTCCATCACTTCCCATTTCGGGACCCAACGCGCCGATCCAAACAACCGGGGGGCACCTGCAAAATGGCCATGGGTCAAAATCCAAATCGTACCCCCCAGTGAACATCCGATTCAATCCAACCAGTAAAATAGATTCTAAACTGGGTGGTGAATTCACCAATCCCCCAAAATGGGATCCCAAAACGGTTTTGACAACCACAGCCAAATGATTCGCGGCCGCCGTCAAACAGCTGCTAACGCAAGGCGCATGGACTGCGGGAGGCTTCTCCGGTCTCATGGCCAAAACCAAGGCCACGACCGCCGGCTTTTCGGCCGGTGCCTGCACGTGTCCAGCCCTCCTGTAGAAGGGAATTTATGGATTTGGCACTCATTTTTCCGCTCAATCGCCCAATCTCCAGGAGACTCACTTGAAATCGGCCGAAGCAATGTCTAACACCAGAACAGGAATGGAGCCCTCCAAAGCAGCCCCGTCATTTCGGGGATTCAGGTCCACCTCCCCCTGACTTGGAGGGAGTACCGCAAAGGGCGCCTAGTTTTGACACCACAACAAAAAAAAGAGAACAAAACAAGCATTTTGTCCGCTCAAATAAAGCCAAGCGCCATGCTGGAACTCTTGGGGGGCACGGTGCTTTGCTCTTGAGGGGTGTGGTCCTTTGAAGGTGTGCAGGTCAACTCTTGGCTCTGTCATAGGGCTCATGGTGCTGACTGATTCCTTGCTGACCAACAACTTGGGTGGCAAATGAGCTCTCCAGTTGTTCGTTCAGTAAAGGGCTACAACCTCCCGGATCCATTGGCGGCTACATCGGCCGGAAAACCGGAGGAAAGCCCGCGACACGTCAATCGCCGACTTCTGCCTGCTCCTCGGGCACATTCCCAGGGGCCTGGTTTGGAACGGCCGCCGATCGAGCCCGCCCCATGCCTTTTGCAGGGTGCTGGCCCTCCATGTCCCTAAATGGCCCATGGGGAACCTGTTTAGACGCTCCAAACCATGTGTTTAAGCCTTCATCCTTTTCATTTAACCCTCCCCGTTTAAGCCTTCCAGCCTTTCTCTGTCTTACCTCTTTGCAGTCATCCATCTTTTCTTTGTCAACCCTCTGGCCGAAGCCTGTGGCAACTGCTGCTCCAGGGGACGGCCTGGAGCCTAGGGTTGGCTTGGGTTGGGTTTAGGGCAGGTTTCGGATTGTTCTAGGTCAAGTAGGGTTGGTTTAAGGTTGGTTTAGAGTGGTTTAAGGTTGGTTAGGGTTGGCTCGGGTTTGCTCAGGGCAGTTTGGGTCGGGTTTGGGGTGGGGGGGGTGGGGTTGGTGTTGTGTTAGGTTGGGTTTAGGGTAGATGTTTGGTTGGCTTGGGGTTGGTTTAGGGTTGGTTTAACCGGGCTGCGGGCTGAGAGTGCAAAAAACCAGGTTGGGGGGCCGGGGTGACAAAAGCAGGCTCGCGGGTGCAACAACAAGTCAGCTTCCTAGATTCCTTCCAATTGGTTTGGATTGGTGGCTTGCTGCTTCAGGGACGTTTCCCGTCTACCCTCTACAAAACCAGGGGTTCAAACACCAATCCAAATGCCTGAACAAGGTCGGGAGTGAAAAACACAAGGTGGGGGTGAAAAAACAAGGTGAGGGGGTAGAAAGAGAGGGTTAGGAAGCAAGGTTACTGTAGAGGGCTCCCAAGCAGGGTTTGAGGGCTTAAAAAAGGAAGGGTCACAACAAGAAGTTCGGAGGGCCAAAAGAAGGGAAGCCTGCCCCCTCTCACTAATAGTAGCCTTTTTTGGCTGCAATGGCTCTCCCCTGAGGGCTCTAGATCAGCATAAGGGAATAGTCATCCAGAAGTTCAAAGGTAAGTCACACAGGGCAACCCTACGCTCATGATCCAAACGGGAGCGAGTGATTCACTTGTGTGATGTGGGTATGTAGGTGCATGCGTATTCTTGCGCGTCCTGAGACTCCATTGATGGTTTCCCCCCCCTCCCCGGCCCCCCCACCCAAACCACTGCCCTAGCAGGTTCACGGGTAATGGACAGCATCCTGGATCAGACCCACATCCACCAACCCATCCTTCTTTTTGGCTTTTTGGTGTAATTGGAGCTCTTCAGCGCGGATTTGAATCATCCTTGGCTCCTTGGCTCCAGGATCTATAGCCAGCCACACCCGCTGTGCTTTCTGTTTCTGATACTGGAGTTCATTGGGAAAAGCGCCCGGTTTGGGCTTACCCCATGTTGAAACACAGAGAGAGAGAGAGAGAATGACAGAGAGAGAGAGAGAGAGTGAGAGAGAGAGAGAGAGAGAATGACAGAGAGAGAGAGAGAGAGAGTGAGAGAGAGAGAGCGAGAAACCGCTTGCATCGATGCGCCTCGCCGGCCCCTTCCAGCGGATTGGCGACCTCACATGGGTACACCTTCCGTAGTGCGATAGGTAGGGAATGAATCGGTTGGGGATTCCCCTAAAGGAAACTTTGGGGATGGTTTCTATGTCATTCCCCTATTCCCTGCTGAGAACCAGCAAGTTTCGGCATATAGAAAATAGCGGGGACCCGCACTTCCAAACGTCTGCTCCTTTCCCTAGACCACAAAAAAGGTACCCGTCAGAAAAGCAAGGCTATGTAGCTGGCGATAGATCCGGGAGCCGAGGAGCCAGGCATGATCCTATATTCCATATATGCCTGTCCCACTCTCAAGTCGGTGTGTCTTTTTTAGGGGACCCCCTCTACCCCATTTAAAAAAAGGAAGGAAAAACAACTCATGGTGGGTGTCCTTTTGGTTTTCCTTTAAAACCAACCACGGGGTGCTGTCAAAAGAGACCCACCCAAATGTATGTTCAAGGAAACTTGCCAAGTCTCGTAGCCAGCAGTGTGGCCAAAACAGGCGAAGGCTCGCACCGCTCGCACTGTCATGCGCTGGGGCTATCGCCATCCACATGATGAGCTGTCCGATGTCTTCGGATCCTGCCAGCCGGTTGCCTGAAGGAACCTCGTGCTTCCAACTCCCAAACAATTCGCGCAACGGGCTTGGTCTCCCAACAGACATCCGTTGGGAAGCTGCCCGAAAACATAGAACAACTTTCCCCGGCTTTAGACCACATACATACCCCCCCCCAAAAAAAAAACATACACACGCAAAACAAAAACACCAAAAAAACATAGACACACGCAAAAAAAAAAACGGTTGAGACAGGGGCGATGGAAAGTCCCCCGGCCTCGCGGCCCGAAGTGACGCAGGGCTGCGTCCACTTGTTCTCGCGAGAAGCCCATGTCCACCAGGGTGCCTCTCCCGCTCGCCCAAGTCTCCAAACAACGCCCGGGAGCCCCGGGAGGGCGTTCCGTCTTTTCCTGTTGGTTTCAGGGCGTCCGAAAACAGAAAAAAAAGACAGTTGTTTCCGATGCTCGAACAGATACAAGCGATCCGGGCGAGGAAGCAAGGAGGAAGAGCAGCAAACCGGTGGTGATCATACATTCAGGGTGTCATTGCTTCCTGTTGGAAATCATAAACGAACGAATCGGGGAACTTTGAGCTCTTCAAATACCAATCTAATAATTGCATCATTCCATCTAATACCCATCTAATAACGATTAGCATCATCCCTCGCTACCCCAGAATCCTTGGTTCCAACGTCATGTCATGGTTCAGGCGTACCAACAGTTTGCCACCTACCCCCTACTTGCATGTTCCACTTGAGGTGTGAGCCATAAGTTGGAGGCTTGGTTTCATTGCAATGGCTCCAACCCTTGCTGGTTGAACATCCAAGTGCAGCTTGCCCTTGGTTTCGATCGCACATTGCGCCCGGCCTTGAATATGACCATCCGCTCTGGGCTCCTGCAAAAAAAAACGGCGAAGAGCTTTTTGGGTATGTGGCTTTTGGTCTTTGTCGAGGGCGCCTCTTTTTCGTGGCTTTGAAGGAAAGCCAACAGAACTCGCACAAAAGGGTGGGGCCCCTAAAAAAAGACACCCCATGTGTCAAAATACGGAACCCCCCCCCCTCTCCCCCTTCCCAAAAAAGAACAACAAGTTGTGTTTACTTGTGGCTGTCCTTCAAACCTTCAATCACTCGAGAAGACCCGCCTGTGGCATCGCGAAGGAAATACCTGGACATGCCAGCAATACAGCACCCAAAGTCAGTGACAGCTGCAAAATCACTCTGCAAAAAGCTGTGTTAACGACCCACCCCTCCAAAAGTGAGTTTGACGCCTACAAAAAGAAGCACTACTTGTGTGAACCCTATATATATATATTGTATATATATATTATATATATTTATATATATATATGTATATATGTCATATCTGGGTGGCTGCCGAATTTTCGAGACCGCACTTCCCTCAACACTCCCAGTCTCCCCCACCATTCGGATACAAAATGTCGACATCCTCCACTAGGCTTCCCTCTACTTGAATCCCAAACAGTTCGGACCAGGTGACACCAATGGAAGTCCTTTCCAACGCCTCAAAAACGTCCTTCGGGAACTGAAGACAAATTTCCCGGGGTCATTATGTTGACTGTGTCTGGGTTATCAAGGTCAGAAAATGGGATCGGTTGTTTCCCCTTAACCCACCACTTAGGTGACTTTGACCATGGTATTTTTGTTTTAAAAAGAAATGAGGTCAGTATTCCCTGCGCGCACTGGCTGCTGGCTTTGGTATGGGGCTGTCTGGCCGCGTTTCATCCTGCAGGAGGTTCAGCCAAACCTGGCCGAAGACGCGCTGAGCTTTGTGCCCCTAGGGGTTGACCAGTCTGATTTATGGGTGTGGGTCAAAAAGGGTACCCAAAATGGGCCCCCTGGTAAATGGAAGCAATACACATGATATGGGTGTGGGTCAAAATTAAACCACCAGGAATCGGACCACAGGTTTCAGTCCTTGGTTCCATTTATACCCATTTTTGACCCACAGCCATATCATGCATATTGGGAAACCACTACAAGGACGAAATCCTTCAACCTGGGTCTCTCAACACTGTGAGCCCCCTTTGGATAGTGTGTGAAGGGAAACCGAAGAGAAAGCAGCCCTCAGGGTTGAGAGTCCCTCTTTTCAGATTTCAGGACTCAATTGGCTTGTTGGCTCGGCCCATTGTTTTGCCATCATCCCCTGTACTTTCGTAGCCCGCCGATAAGGACTGCCCGCGCGAACGCGCATGCGAAAGCGAACACGCGTAAAAGAGCGCAACAGGCCGCCTTCATGAGGGAGCAACAGGCCGCCCTCGGGAAGTGAGGAAAGTTGGGGTGGCGCCACAGCGGCAGGAGGCTGCGCAGGGCCTCTGCCTGAAGAAGAAAAAACCAAAGGCCAAAGGTTCGGGAAAACTCAAATTTCACCAGGAAGGATGCTTGGGGTTGATTCCCTCTCACCAAAAAAATGACTGCCACTTGGCGCCACCCCTCAAAGGGTGTGATTCGGCAATCCGCCACATTCAGCTTCCTGTTTCTTCAAACATGTCCGAAAAGTGTCCACAAATAATACTTTGAAATCCAACATGTCCAATCATAATACTGTGGATGGACGAAATCCTGCACCACTTTGAAATGTGATGATAAACCATGGTTTGTTGGTATTTACAGGGGAATCGTCATTCCGCGGATTCTTAGGTGGTGCAGGATTCTGTCCATCCACTGTATTACTGCATGTTTCGGCAATGTACAACCACTCCCTTGCAAAAGAGGCATGCCATGGCCATTGCGGCAGCCATGGTTGGGTGCACTTCACGGTGCACGCCTGGATAGCTTTGCACAGCTGCTCCTGCAGTGGCACGCAGCAAGCTGCCACTTGCAAACTCTGGGTGCACCAGCAAATCTCGTCATTCCCTTCCCTCAGCAGACCACAGTTCTGTGACACAGGATTGGGATTGCCACAAGGTTCACTCCCACGTGCTTCACCTGGTTTTTCCGCTGGCTCGTTTTCTGGCTTCGCGGATTCCGTGCTCCCGATCTGATTTGACCCTAGTCCGCCGAGTCCAGTCCGCTTCGAGGCAGGCCCAAGGGTCAATCATTCCCATCGCTGAGGGGTCTCAGGCATGGTATGACTGGGATATGATCGTCGGGCTGTGCCGAGAGGTAAAGCCTTACAGACCAACCGCACCAGTGACAACCCTTAACATCGTGGCTCTCCATTTTTTGGCTTCTCTTTAAGTACTAACCCGTTTTTGCCGGGGGTCCGAAAATTTTTTTGGGGAGTTCGGGCCTCCCATTCATGGCCTCCGGCCTTCGTCAGGAGGCCATCCTCCTCCCGGAGCTGCATGGCGTGCGTGTAGCGCTTGCCGGAGGTGAGCTTCTCGAAGTACGCCGTGGCCTATCCGAAGACTCCGGCGACTCCGTGCGCCAGGATCAAAAAACCGTGCGTCTTTTGTACCACCCTCCAATCACCTGGGTGTTGAAATTTGTTTCTTTAGGGACCTCCAAAACGGTGGTTGTTGTTTTTTTCTTTTCCTCCCGACGGTTTGGCTTTAACACCACAAAAAGGGGAGTAACCCCTCAAGAAAAGACACGCCCAATGTCAACACTCCTTATATGGCCTATGGTCATGGTTGGCTCCCTTGATTGGAATCATTCTAATGGTTATTAAGGATGGCATCTCTTGACCATTGCCCATGGTTTCCCTTAACAACTACCACCGAAAAAAAAAACAATTGTCCTGAACAGAAAGGAGACACCCAAATGGGAGTTTCTTGGAATGGTGGTAGGTATTTAAAGGGAAAGCAAGAGAAAGCCGTTGCCATTTTGTCGGACCGATTCCTATTTTTCGAACGCCCGCACTGGCATGCTTGTAACGAACTCCTGGGAAACGCTCAGAGAGGCAATTTAGATGGGCGGCTCCTTGGCTCCCTTCCAATCACCAGATTCTAAGACTTGATTTTCGGAGCGAACACCTCTGGGCAACGGAAAACGAGGTGCCGGAATTAGGCGCCAGGCCGTTGACAAAGAAGTGCTGGCCAGGTTTTCTTCCGGCACAACATTGTTGGCTGCCAGCCTCAGATTACGTCGCAAGTCGGGCAAGTTGCGGTAAGTCGGACACTCCACTTTGTTGTGGGAGTTGCACGGGACATCCGGTCTGAACTCAGGAATGTGGGCCTGGATCCAGTGTGCAGCCACGTGGCTGCAGGAGTCTCGGAAGCAGCCCAAAGCCACCAGCCTGCAATGCCCCGCACACACTACAAAGCGCTTTCAAGGTGACGTTTGCACAGCTGTGCTTCGAGACCGCACGAGACCTTGTAGCGCAGGGCTCCGCAGAAGAAGTTGTTCTCGCGTAGGATTGTGGCAAGGCTTGTGTGTGTGTGTGCTTGCGTTCATGCATGTTTATGCGTTTGTGGGTAGTTGCACGTGTTTGTTCCGTGCTTGTGTGCGTGTGTGTGTGTGTGGGGTTACGTGTTTGCGTGTTTGCGTGTTTGCGTGTTTCTGTACTTGTATATTTGCATGTGTGCTTGGTTTCGCCTGCGTCTTTCCGTGTGCCGCGCATTTGCAGGTTTGTGTTTGTGTGTTTGCGTGTTTGTGTGTGTGTGTGTGTCAGAGCGTGTGTGTGTGTGTGTGCGCGCGGGTGTGTGTGTGTGTGTGTGCGCACGGGTGTGTGTGTGTGTGTGCGCGCGCGTGTGTGTGTGTGTGTTGTGTGTGTTGTGTGTGTTGTGTGTGTTGTGTGTGTTGTGTGTGTTGTGTGTGTTGTGTGTGTTGTGTGTGTTGTGTGTGTTGTGTGTGTTGTGTGTGTTGTGTGTGTTGTGTGTGTTGTGTGTGTTGTGTGTGTTGTGTGTGTTGTGTGTGTGTGTGTTGTGTGTGTTGTGTGTGTTGTGTGTGTTGTGTGTGTTGTGTGTGTTGTGTGTGTTGTGTGTGTTGTGTGTGTTGTGTGTGTTGTGTGTGTTGTGTGTGTTGTGTGTGTTGTGTGTGTTGTGTGTGTTGTGTGTGTTGTGTGTGTTGTGTGTGTGTGTGTGTTGTGTGTGTTGTGTGTGTTGTGTGTGTTGTGTGTGTTGTGTGTGTTGTGTGTGTTGTGTGTGTTGTGTGTGTTGTGTGTGTTGTGTGTGTTGTGTGTGTTGTGTGTGTGTGTGTGTGTTGTGTGTGTGTGTGTGTGTGTGTGTGTGTGTGTGTGTGTGTTGTGTGTGTTGTGTGTGTTGTGTGTGTTGTGTGTGTTGTGTGTGTTGTGTGTGTTGTGTGTGTTGTGTGTGTGTGTGTGTGTGTGTGTGTGTGTGTGTGTGTTGTGTGTGTTGTGTGTGTGTGTGTGTGTGTTGTGTGTGTTGTGTGTGTTGTGTGTGTTGTGTGTGTGTGTGTGTGTGTGTGTGTGTGTTGTGTGTGTTGTGTGTGTTGTGTGTGTTGTGTGTGTTGTGTGTGTTGTGTGTGTTGTGTGTGTTGTGTGTGTTGTGTGTGTTGTGTGTGTTGTGTGTGTTGTGTGTGTTGTGTGTGTAGTGTGTGTTGTGTGTGTTGTGTGTGTTGTGTGTGTTGTGTGTGTTGTGTGTGTTGTGTGTGTTGTGTTGTGTTGTGTTGTGTTGTGTTGTGTTGTGTTGTGTTGTGTTGTGTTGTGTTGTGTTGTGTTGTGTTGTGTTGTGTTGTGTTGTGTTGTGTTGTGTTGTGTTGTGTTGTGTTGTGTTGTGTTGTGTTGTGTCGTGTTGTGTTGTGTTGTGTTGTGTTGTGTTGTGTTGTGTTGTGTTGTGTTGTGTTGTGTTGTGTTGTGTTGTGTTGTGTTGTGTTGTGTTGTGTTGTGTTGTGTTGTGTTGTGTTGTGTTGTGTTGTGTTGTGTTGTGTGTTGTGTGTGTTGTGTGTTGTGTGTGCTGTGTGTGTGTTGTGTGTGTTGTGTGTGTGTGCTGTGTGTGTTGTGTTGTGTGTTGTGTGTTGTGTGTGTGGGTGTGTGTGGGTGTGTGTGGGTGTGTGTGTGTGTGTGCGTGCGTGCGTGCGTGCGTGCGTGCGTGCGTGCGTGCGTGCGTGCGTGCGTGCGTGCGTGCGTGCGTGCGCGCGCGCGCGTGGGTGTGTGTGTGTGTGTGTGCGTCTGCGTGTGCGTGTGCGTGTGTGTGTGTGTGTGTGCGTGTGCGTGTGCGTGTGCGTGTGCGCGTGCGCGTGCGCGTGCGCGTGCGCGTGCGCGTGCGCGTGCGCGTGCGCGTGCGCGTGCGCGTTCACTGTGTGTGCGTAGTGTGACTGTCATTGTGTTGTCTGTGTCTGTGTGTGTGTGTTTGTGATTTGTGTGGTGTTGCGTGTGCTTGTGTTTTGTGTGTTCTGTGTGTTTGTTTTGTTTGTGTGTTTCTGAGTGGATGAATTGGAGCGGGGGATGTACACAAATACAAGCACACACAGACAAAACACACACACACCTCAGATTTACCGGCCGCGTTTTGGAGATCCTCATTTCTCGGCCGCGTTTCGGCCTGCAGGAAGGCGCATAACGCCAGCGGCCGCACCGCCACCTTGTTTTGCTCCTCGTGCATCTTCTGCAGGACATCGAAGACCTGCGGGGCCATGAGGTTCCATCGAAAAATGGACCCTGTGGTAGACATCTGTACGGGGAAGGGACATGTTTGAGGGCATGGCAACCGTGGAAACTTCTACCCACGCCGTGCGTCCTGCGATCCGAGTGAGAGCATGTGAGCCAAGCTCAAGCTTCCACTACTGCGCTCGAATTCTCAGCTGCAATGAGCTCACAGAGTTATACTAGCGGCTTCATCCATGGCCGGCCTCAAAAACTCCTGGCTTTGTCTCATGGAGAAATGCTTCAAGATTGCCTACTTGTCCTTGTGGATTCCCGGGAAAACCAACGAAAAAAATGTACCCTCAAAACAACACACAGCCCGGTCGCACAAAAAAAAAGGCCTCCCCAATCCACCGGAGCGCCGCGGTGGTATCTGCTGGAGGCTCAGCTGCCAACACCGTCTTGGCCACCTGTGCAAGTCTGACCCCTCGCAAGTGCATACCCTTCTCAGTCAGCGTGTATGCTTCCACATGTGAGATGGCCAACATGTGAACCCACTAGTTTTGGTTGAAACGTTGTGAGTCCGTGTACTTTCCAAATGAACCATGCTGGAAATTGTGAACAAGCTGCAAGCGCCGCTTGCGTGCCGCTAGCCTGGACAATGCCCTCAGAAAGCGACAAGGGACAGCATGTGCGGAAGATCCTTGTTCCACCCGTGCAAGGTCTTTCCCTTCCTCAGCCTCAAATGTGTCATGGCTCAGCCTCCTATGCATCATTGGCATGTTCCTGCAACAGACATCCTTACCATGGTTCTCTGACATCCCTATTACGGGTTTGACGACCACCCATTCCCACCCCCGGTAGGGGTCGTTTGAATATGGCACGAATGGGAGCCCAAAATGAGTAGTTCCCATTCATTTCCGCTTTGGTTTCCCCTTTGAAACACGCGCAGAAAGAAGTAAGGCCAAGAGCAAGTTGCATAAATCGTCTCACGAAACTTGAAACATGGAATCCAACGAACAAGCCCCAGCTTTGTTGAAAATCCAACATCCTAGTTTCATCAAATATGAATAACTATGCGTGACATTTCACAGGGTGACAACTACATGTGAACTGAAGGCAGGTTATGCAATGCTGTCTCTTTCACTATTGTGGCTGAAGAAATAAAGTATATAAGGAGGTACTACCCCCTTGCAGACGCAAAGCCTCGAAGGACACTAGCCTCCCCCAATCCAAAAAAATGGAACCTCCCTTTGGATCATGGCAAAGGGAAACTACAGGCGAGCCCAGCCTGCTCAACAGCCTAAGTTTGTTTGCAGGTCAGCAAAAAGCCGCGTTGAAGAACAAAAGGTCCAAGCACCAAAACAAATCCATTCCATTTCAATGACTCTGCCTTTTTTTGCGGGTACCCATTTCTTTAAGGGTATTTTCAGGGCACCCACAAGGGAAATACCGCGCGCGGGGATTTTTCCGCTTCCAGAGGGGGCCTGCGCCAGCTGCCGCGCCAGGTCCAGCGGCGGGCTCTGGGGCTCCCGGAGCTCCCGGTCCCGGCGTGCGCGGTGAAGCTTCGCCGAGAGCTGCAGCAGCTGCCGCAGCGTCCTGGCGGAGGGAAAACTGGCAGAGGGCTGGCAAAAAGTTCGTGGATGAGTTGTTTTTGGGCTGGAGGTGTCTTTTTCTGCTCCCCTGCAAAGGTGATTTAGTGGGCCCACTAGTTGGCAAAAAGTTACAGTCCTAACATCGAAGCAACATGCGCCAAAGATACATGGGTGTGTCTGCTTTGGTACCTTGTTTTGTGTGGTTTCACAGGGACACCAGAAGGGAAAGAAACCTGTCCCCCTATTCTCGGAAAAAGCCCCATACTTTCGCCACAATCAAAGTCACTCCCTAAAGAAAAACTCGAAACTCTAAAAAATGATGACCCTGCATCCTTTCGCGCTTTTACAATATTGACAGTTGGGAGTTTCCTCTATTTTTCAAACCAACGATCCTTGCTTCGGGGCCCCCACCAACCAACCAACGGGTCCCCCCCAAAAAAAAAAACGCGAGGCCCAGCCCTTGCGAGCCGTTCACGTGCCGCGCTTCCGCGCTTCGCGGCGTTCCGCTCTCCTGCTGGACAGCCGAAAGCACTGCCGCGCCGCTCTGAGCTGCGGCTCGGCGCCTGGAGCCGGAGAGGCGGCCAGCTCTCGTGGTGCTTTGGAAAAAAAAAAAAAAACATCGGAGGCGGTCTGTCTTTCTTCAGGGTACCCTTTTTTGGGTGGGTTTAGGAGACCCAAAGCAAACACACATTCCGGAAATGTCTGTCTATCCTCTTTCAGCTCATTGGGGTTTAGGCGAAACCCAAGGCAAGCACACATTTGTTGGGTCCCCAGATTTTGACACATAGGGTGCCCTTTTGGGGTGGGTTTAGGAAACCCAATCCAAACACAAACACCTTCTTTGGGTCCCCAGATTTTGACACATATAAGTCTGTCGTTTTGCATGCAAGCAACGTTGGCCAGCTTTGAAAGAGTGAGAAACTCGCAGGCGAATCAATCTTTGAGGACTTGCTCTTCATGCCCCTGCGAACTAACATGAAGCCGTAAAAATGTCACCCCTTGTTGTGGTGCTTAAGAGAAGGCGGTAAATGTGAACCGACGTGAGTACAAACTCTTGCTAGCCCTTCGCCCCAAGGCTTGTAGTTGGCAACCACGCTGAAACCATATGAGCACATGGTTTCGTCTGTTTCTCTTTGTGGGGAAGGTATAGTGGGCAACTCCCAAATATATTGGCTACTTGATTGAACCAGGTGCCTTTTGGGGCGCCATATGCCAGTGCGCCTTCTTTGGAGCTCGGCCCAAACACGGCCTTCACCGTGGCATGGTAGCCTCGGCAACACGCGCGGCGGACGCGGCTTACGGCTGAGGTTCGCCACATGCGGCGGTTTGAGGCCGGGGCTTGCGGTGGCCGGCATCCGCTCCCGCTCCTGGCGGCTTCTGAAGCCATTTGGCTGTGGTTGTCAAAACTGTTTTGGGATCCCATTTTGGGGGATTGGTGAATTCACCACCCAATTTAGGATCTATTTTAGTGGGGATTGGGATGTTCACTGGGGGTACCATGGCCATTTGAGTCACAAATCAAAACCCGGTACAAAAATGGTCGACCCAGAACCATGTAAAGAACTAAGCAGGCGGCCGCAGCTGTTTATGGCTGGGATCCTCCCTTACGAACCTTCACTTGCTCGGGTTTTGATTGCGATCCATTTGGTGTTTGGGGGACCCCAGCGGGCATTCACCGGCCCTGAGGCGGTTCCTCATCAAAATTCATGGCCCAAGAGCTGGAAAAGAACCTTGAGGCCGAAATTCCCGCCAATCGTTGAGAAAGTGGTTCTGCAACCCCCAACTTTTCCACACGCACCTCACCGGAAGCAGTCGGCTCGACTCAGCTCGACTCAGCTCGACTCAGCTCGACTCAGCTCGACTCAGCTCGACTCGGTTCAGGCCTGCGGCTGCCAAGCCACGAGGACGAAGAGCGTAGCCGCCAGGGGGCCGATATCTTTCAGCGGCTCCCGCACAGCCTAAGAGCAAGCAGCGGGATGATACAAGCGTGTCTCCACTGAGGGAACCCCCCCCCAACAAAAAAGATAGAACCTCCACTGAGAGAACCTCAGTAAGAAGTAAAAAACAAAACAACAAAACGCAGGTTCCGGTTCACTTTGAACAAAACCAGATATGGGCCTCCAACCAATGGCTGCACCCATTAGACGTGCTAGCAATCGGAGCCGCCTCGAGGATCTGCACGGAGCTTCCTTCTCGGCACACGGACAGCAGGCTTTCCAGCCTGAGCCGCAGCCCTACCCCGCAACATCTTAACATCTCGGTAGACCAAAGCTGGGTTCGGAGTTCGGGGGGTGTGAAAACATGGATTCAATTTAGTGCAAGAAGCGCATAGTCCTGCGCTCCCTAATATGTCCCCTTTCGCCACGAAAAGGAAACTCACTTCAAATGGCCCCCTTGAAACCGCTAACAAGGGAAATCATAAAGACCCAGAAAAACCATCCAAACACGCGCCCTGGATAAACGACAAGACCACGTCTCGCAGTCTGAGGTGCGGACACCGAGGTCACGCGACTCAGGTCCCGCAGGAATGCTGTGACTTTGGCGGTCTCCATTGCGGCAATGGCAGCATTGGGGTCCTTGGAAGCCAAGCACTAGCTGTCAATCAAGCTGTCGTAGTAGTAGTAGTAGTAGTAGTAGTAGTAGTAGTAGCAGTAGCAGTAGTAGCAGCAGTAGCAGTAGCAGTAGCAGTAGGAGGAGTATTGTGGGTGAAACCTCCGCAAGACTCCCGTCTGACTCCTGTCATCATGGTAATTGAAATGTGGGATCTATGGTTGTGTCTTCTTGTAAAGGGCCCCAAAGAGTGGCTGTCTGCCTTGGTGGTCCCTTTAAAACCAAAACAGAAACGGGTACCTTCCAAAAAATGGCAAAACCCCACGATGACAGCTGTCCTGGACAAAATGCACACGCCTGTCTGGCCATGTGGGGATGGTCAAGTGCACCGAGATTTGAGGAAAGCACCCCAGATGCGAAGTCTTCCAGGGCCGGCAACACCTCATGCGAACTCAGCTCCCCGTCTCTCTCTGAGGTGCAGCTGACATCCTTTCACGTCTTTGCAAGTGACTCAGTGTCCAATCAGGCGAAAACAGCGAACATCCTTTGGGCCCACAGGATCCAGTCCAACGAACATCCCAAAACCGCGGTGTCCTGCCTTCTGCAGGTGGCAGCTGAGCCTTAGCAAAGGCTCTGAAAATCCCCTAGCCCCAAACCTTGGCGCCTTGCAGCAGATTTGGGGCCTTCGGGTATTTATCTTCTATTCACTGGAACCTCAATCAAGCAAAACCACTGCACAAGGGTTCACAGGTCTCTGCGGCTCGCTCCTCGCGAGCCTGGAAGAAACTTGGGCAAGCCTTTGGACTCCCTTGCCACTTGGATGTGGCTCCAACAATGTGCCCAAAATGGCACCTTTGCGGAAACAAAACCCAAAACCTGCGGTTTGCCCCTGTGTAATTTGAGCCACACCCACTCGGATGACTCTCGCCAAGCAGGCGCCGGCGCCTCTCGCCTCTCGCCTCTGGGGCGCCGCACATGTCTTTGAGCTCTGCGGCCACCGCCAGGTTGCCATCTGCGCCCTTGGCCTGAAAGTTGCGAGTCACACTCAAAACCGAAAATTAGAATTGCCCATGGCCCATGGCCCATGGGAGGCTTTGAACAACTCACAGCTTACTTCGGTCGAGTCACACTCAAATGGTCTAGCAATCATACAACAAGTTTCATGAAGGGTCTGGCCCTGGGAAACACCCACAACATATGAGTCACAATCAAAACCCGATATTAACTTGGTCGTAATCCCAGAACCATGCTTCAAGAATTCCGAAGGCAGAGATCCGCATTCCTATTTCTGGCTGGGACTGCCCCTAAGCTTCATCTATCCGAATCGGTTTTGAGCAAGTGGCTCAGTCTGGAAAGCTTAGAAGCCCTGTACCCTCCCATCGGGACCCGGTCTCTTTAAAAGGAACATGGTCCAAACCAGGACCCCCCAAACATCAGGCCCCAGAAAAATTGGTGGGAGGGCAAATCAACATGGATCTTTGTTTTAAAAGAAGAAACTGTTCGCGGAATCTCGCCAAGTCGAAACAAGGACCGACTTGTGAGGTATGTGTATGTATGTGTATATGTGTCTTTCAGTGAAATATAGAAGAATACTTTTCATTTGTCGCAAAACTTGCGTTGTAACTTGCTCCATCCGCGATCCTGCAAGTTGAAGAGGCTAGCCATTGGATGCTGCTGGCCTGGCGCCGAGGGCTCTTCAGAGAATTCCACGGTTTCGATTGCCCAAACGCAATTACCCAGCTGATACCCTCCAGGGAATCCTCAGTATGTAACTATCCTTACCAGTGATTTGCCTCAAAACGTGTGATGGCCGTCTTTGAGCCATTTTGATGTCTTGGTTAAAGACATGCTGCGGCTGGGCAGTGTCAAGAAACATGCTCCTTGCTGCACTCACTGCTTCTGGAACGACGCGGCGAGCCTTCCAAAGATGTCAAGTGATAGGGCAAGCCTTGGGACAAAGGGCGCCCACGCCGACGCCAACGCATCGAAGGCCGAAGAACACAGGCAGCCTTGAGGAATACGCGCAAAGTGTCAGAATCGGGGACTAATCAGGACACCGTGGGAAGTCAAACTCACAGCGAGTATGTGTCGAACTGGAACCCGAACAAAAAAACAAAAACGAAAAAGCACCCTCAAGTGGCTCCGGGTCAAACATGAATACCCGCACCCAAAAGAAATTGCCCTTCTCCCTCGAAACACGGACGACCAAAACCTGCGGTCCAAATTGGTCAAAAAGTGGGCTGGGCTCCGCTGAAACTGAGGGCCTCACAGGGCAGCTCTTGAAGCTCACGCACCAGCGACAAGCCCTTCCTGGCGGGTGGCTTGGTGTTTGGGGCGAGGGGGGTTGAGACGGGTCGAATCTGGTGAGATTCAATAGAGAACAATCCCCACCGAGTTTTTTTAAGCTCCAGCCCTCAATGCTGCAAGAAAAAAGATGGCAGTACACCATATGCAAGAGAGAGGGGGTGCCAATGGAAAGCTACTCCTTTCGGTTATTCTGGACCATGTTGATATCCTACTTCAGAGTGCACGACTCTCCAGAGCTGGGCCGCGCACTTCTCCAAGAAGCACTTCAGAGCTGCTTCGTTGGTGGAGAGAATCGACCAACAGAAGCGGCCTCATGATGTCATGCCCGGGGTCGAATCTTCCCCTTTCTCCCGAGGCCTGGGTGTCTTGTGATTGCCGCAAAGCACCCTTGTAGGTTGACCCCACCGCCAAGAGGCTGACAATCATCCCTACCAAGCTCGCTGCAGAACGGCGCCAGCCGATCGGGCAAGTACTCTGTGTGGTCCTCCGCGAAAGGCTTGGCCATGCCAGCTGGGCAAATTCTGATTTACAGACCGAACATGAAGCAAGCTTATGAAAGGAACCTTATGAAAGGAGGGTCACATTGCCAACCGGCCTGCGACGTCGCTCTAGTTACTCGCCCACTACGTTGGTTGTGCGGGCGCTCGATCAACGAAGAAGGCAAATAACCGACGCATCTCCAAAGAAAAACAACACAGGCACCGCAGTGGAAAAGAGCAGGCCTCACAATTTGAGCAGCGCCCAAAACTCATTGACGGCTGTGTTTTTTTCTTGCAGTACATGCTTGTACAGTCTCATACAGGCAATCTAGGAACTATCCCAACTAAAAACAAGGTAGCCGACCATAGGAGTTTCGTGCGCAGCTTCGCTCCTCGAGGTCTAAGGGTGTCCATTCGGGATACTCCTGGCTCAAGCGTGCCACGTCCAAAGACCAAAAATGCGACGGACACAAGCGGGCACCCAGAAGAACACCCAAAATCATCTGGAAGGGCCTTCCTTTGTGGGCATGTCAATAGGGGATCTGTTTTCGGAGTGTAGCATCTGGGTTTGTCTTTCGAGGGAACCCTCCGCGTGGTTTCCCTTTCGTTTCCCGAAAAACAAACGACAAGATAGGTATCCTCGAAAAACAACGCCCATCGGGGCGTGGCCAAACCCAAGGGAAAGCGTCGGGCCTTGGCCTGCTCCAAAATGGCCTGCATGCTGGAAAGCATGCAGTCCACCACCTGGGCATGCGAAAGGCTCCCAACCCCCTGCCCCCCTCGGGGTTCATCGATCCTTGGCTAAAATCATATGTGGCGCAAAAAGGCTCCCACCCACCCACCCCCAAGCAACCTGAAACCCTCGGGGTTCATTGATTGGCTAAAACCATATGTGCAAAAGTCCAAAAGCTCCCAAGGCTCAAAGTCCAAAAGTGTGAAGGGTACGGCTGGGCGGCTTCTTTGAAAGGGTTGCCTTGAGAAGAAGGCTCAGCTCACACACCCCAAACGGTGGAATCAATGCCAACCAGAAATTGCGGGAACCCGCTTCGCCTGGAACCCCACGCCCACAATAGGTCCACATATTTTTCTTCAGAACCCAATCCAGGGGCCACTCCATAGAACCGACACACTTTCCGGAACGGTTCGGAACCCTCCGGAACCCGATCTTCCATGAAACCCCCCTCCCTCTCAGCCCCATAGCTCCGAGCTCGGGAAAAACTCGGCCCCGAGGGTGCCTTTTGGGATAAACTGAACGGACCACCGCAACTTTTTCGGTTCCCTCAAAAAGCTGCAGTCAACAATTGGCTGTGGCTCAAAAAACCGGTACCAAATTGGACCCCTGGTAAGTGGACACATGGACGAAAACCTGCGTAACCCCCTCCTGCTTAATTTTGAGCCACAGCCAATTCAGTTCCAATTGACTGAGGTCACCACGTGGTTTGTCAGCTTGTTGGGACCCGCGGGCCTGTTCCGCAGGACCTGTCCGAGAACTTGTCACGTCATCGCATGAATGCTGCCAGCCTTTTCCACCTGGGTGCCCATGATCTGAACCAGCTCCTGAGGCTCGCAGCTTCACATGAGTGTTGGACTCATGCAAATAGGTCTCAAGGTAGGCTTTGCTGCGCCTTCTCCCAAGAACTTAGCCACACTTGTTGTGGTCTCCACGGCACGGCGTGAGCAGTACCGGTGCTACCTGTCTCCAAAGAATTTCAACAGGTTCTGAACCGAGGCTTTGGCTTTGGCTTTGGCTTTGACCTTTCGGCACGCCCAGGGACCCGGGCGGGCTGCGAGTGAAGCAGCGCCGCAAAGCTCGGCTCGGTCAGAACTTCCGTGAGGAGCTGAATCGGCCTGAGGAGCAAGGCGTCGGCCACGAGTCGGCCCCCCGTCGGAAAACCAAAAGGCGGTGGCAGCCCTTTGGGCTTGCCTTTGTTTCAGGACACTTGCGTTCGTGTTTTGTTTACGGGTGAAACCACTAGAAGAACCACCGCATTCTGGGGATCCCCCCAAAAAAATGACGCACTCGTTCTCTCCTGCTTTTGCGCTTCCATTGGGAAACGCGCGTGTAGTTGGGGCCCGAGCTTGCAGGGCAAGCCAAGGATAAAGTCTTCACCTACCTCAGGCTCTCGCGCGACTTGGTCGGAGAGTGCTTGAGAAAGGCTTCACGCAGAGAGGTGTCCCAAAAAACAGGGATGGCCTTGAAAAAGAAGTCAAACAAAATAAGCCAGCCAGTCTCTCGGGACCCCCGATTTTGGGACACACCCAAATCTTGGAAGCTCCAAACTCCGAAATCCAGAGGCGGCAGCAGCGTGGAGGGCGATCGAAGCCAGCAATCCGGGCAAGTAGTTCAGGCATTCCACGCCTCGGATGTCATCTCGCCTCTCTGAAAAGCTGGCCAGAAATGGCCCCTTGGTTTCCCTCTACCCTTCAGACACCAAACCACCCACCACACTTTGCGGGAATTCCTTCAGTTCCCCCTGGTTGGGATTGCCTCAAATGCCGCAAACCCAACCAAAACCTCCCCCCCCCCCACAAGTTCCCCTGCTTAGCAAACTTTAACATGGATGGTCACGAACCCCTCCTGTTGCTGGTATGGATTCCAGAAACACTAACCATGACCATGACCCACAATAAGGAGTTTGACCATGGCACATATGGGGGCGGGTGATTTTGTTGGAAGCTAACTGTGTTTTGGGTTCCCTATCAAGACTCATACTCGCTTTTGAGAAGACAAAGAATGGAAGACCCAACTTTCCCTTGTCGGGCACGGGCAAGCAAGTCATTTTGTGAGTCGGGGGTGTCGCCCCTTTTGCTGAAGGGAAGGGACGTCCAACCTTCCCTTGCAGTCCCATTGCCAAAAGGCCCAAAAGAAATCGGATTGCGCTTTGCGCCTCAAAAGAAACAACCAAAAAAAACATCTTTCGCCAAACAAACAGAAACATATGGGTCCCTCAAAATGGCGGTTTTCCTTTCGGTCTCCCTTTAAAACCAGCCAGCAAAGGGTACCAACTCAGACCCGTCTCGCTGGATGGACAGCCGGCTCGAGGCTGCGACTCCGCAGCGTGGCCTTGCTCAAGGCCGCCATGGTGTCTGGCCTGGGAGGCCAAAAGAAAGGCCAAACCCTCCCTCTTCTTGTGGGGGGGGGGGGGAGATGTTCGGGCCCGAACTTTTCAGAGGGAGCCCGTGGATATGGCTCCCTGTTCAAGAAAAAAGCCACAGACAACCAATTCACAACTGAGAACTGGTCTTTCGGTAGACTGCTTTTCAAGATCTTTCTGACTCAAAACACAAGAGCATCCTTCGATCCCGGGCTTCCCTTGAGAGATAGTGCTTTGGTCGTATCCGATCCGGGACCCGACGTGGAGAAATCCGTCGAAATCATCTCGGAGCCGCACAGCAGGCTTTCAGTCATCTGAGGCACTCTCGAAGGATCCTTGGCAGCATTCCCATCGATTTACAGGCCCCCCCGGAAAAAAAAAATGGAAAAAAGGGAAACATATGCCCGGCGGTAGATTCCCTTTGCGACCAACAGAGGACGACAAACGAACAAAAGTTCTTGGGCAAATGGAAGATTATTGTTTCATCTTCTCGGCTATGAGCTTTCACCTGTGCTCCAGGGCCATTGCATCTTGGATGATGCTGGACACGATGTCAATGGCGGTGCCGAAGAGTGACAGGCCAACCTTCTGCGGGGCCTGGCAACTAAAACGGTCCAGAAAACTGGGTGGCAGAATGGAGAGTTGGACCCCAGAGTGGTGGGCCTTTTTTCCTTGTTTGCATTTCAACCAACCCCACAAAGCGTATCCTTCGCCTCAAAATCCAGAAACCATTTGCAGCTACTCATCATGGGCTTCTCCCCTGCTTTTTGCAAGAAATTGAGCGATTCGTTGGTCATGCCTTTCCAACATTGACCCATCCACTTGTTCACACCAAAGGGTCCCCAGAAAACAACAAGCAAAATCCTATCCAACCCCCGGGCCTTGACAGCAATCTTCAAGGCCTCCGTGAGAGGACCCTGGAAGACATGCGCGAGCCCGGCCTGCGCGGCGCGGCCAAGGTGGTATCCCCAGCCCCGCGCAACCCGACAGAAGCCTCCCAGTGTTTGCCACCGCCCATCTGGGCAGAGACCCCAAAGGTGCCCCGAAAAGCGTTCAGCGCAAAGTGCGCGAGCTCCAGCCTGCACCACTTCGGTGCACTGCAGCGCTGTTTGGATGTTCTTCAACCTCGGAGAGACTTGACTCGGCTCCTTCGGCTCAGCCGAAGGAGCAAGGCTTGGGGAACCAGGCCAGCGGAAAAAGAGGGGACCGTTTACATCTTGCTTGGATTCCTGATGCCGAGGGTTTCACAGTGGAAACAACTGGAGGCTGTTCCAACCACTAACGTCAACTTGCTATGCGAGCCATGCAAAAGCATGTTTTGTTCCCCCCAAACAAAACCAAAATGGCGGCTTCCACCGGTTTTGGTGGGACAGGGCGCCGGGTGCCTATCCCACCCCACACCCCCCTTTGCCTCCTCCCCAAAGACAAGTAAAAGGACTACCTGTGAGTGTGTCAGCTCACATGAATGGTCAATATAGCCATAGTGATTTGAGACCCGGTGCCATTCCCTTCAAGACAACTCATCGGAAAGTAAATCCTCGGATTGTTGTGGTCCGGATTGCCATAACTCCAAATTGGGCATCAACGAAAACAATATGGACTTCAAAAATGACGGCTGTGTTTTTGGTGTCCACCTGAAATCCAACCTGAGAAGGGCGCCTCAACAAGCGCAGCCCCACTTTTTCTACGTGCACAGAAACCGGTGTACAACCGGGCAGTTCCCTCACCAAACTGGGCCGGTGTACAACTTTCACAGGCAAGGAAGGCAAGGTCCACCAAGTCTGTTCAGAACCTATGGCACAACTTCCTGCGCGCGCGCTAACCAAAGCAATCACAAATGTTATGGCAAGTTCAATGCCTGACCCAAGTTCCCTGTCACGGTGTCCATCTTGCTGACTGAACCGGGGTTCGGGTCTTAGCTCACGTCTCTCATTTGCCTGTTTCCTGGCTCTTTCTTTTGCGGGAAGCCCAGGTTGGTTTAGGGACTCCTTTCCAACCACAGCCCCCTTTTGGGCCCAAAGACGGAGCCGCCCCGCAAAAGCCCGGGGTCACGGCAGCTGCCGGCAGTGCCGCCGCCGCGCCGTGACCTCCTGGAGCAGCGTCCGGAACCTGCGCTTGAGGCTCAAGTCTAAAACCTGCGAGCTCAAGCTCCGGGTGATACCACTCTCACTTGCCCAAAGGACCTGAAAAAAGGTTGACCTTTTGGGGTCCTTAAAACCAGACACCCGGAAAACTAAGAGGTCAAAAGGTCGGCGTTGGGCAAGTAAGTTATAGGTTCCCCGTTCAGAGCTCACCTTGTTTAACTGGGTCATATCCAAAATGGCTGACCACATCCCAAGTCGGTGCCGGAAATTTTTACATACCCCGAAAACAGCGACCATGGCCGTGAAAAGATACGCGACCGGCGATCCAGGTCGGTCTTCTTGTTGCGTTGTTTACAGGGCAAACCGAAGGGAAAAACTGCTCATTTCCCTCGCCCTTTCCGTCATTGCCCTTGCTGTCGCCCTTGACTTCCTAGGTGAGACGGATCTTGAGTGGACGGGATGGCCGGCAAAGGCACAGGAGCAGGAGACACCTGAAGGGCCTGAGAAGTCGATGGTGTTTCTGTCGATCAGGCCATGAGATGCTGGGTGGAAGGTTGTTTTGCCTTGCGGAGCGAGCAGAACGATCTATGGCGAAGAACCTACATGTGCGGGTGTCTTTTTCTGTTGGTTTCCAAGGCAAGGACTTGGAATACAGAACTTTTTGTCTAAGTCCTTTGGGTTCTCTCGCCTCTGCTCCGCAGCGTCATCTCCCGGAGGCTCCATCTCCACAATCTGAAAGGCCAGGTGAACCCACCGCGCTTTGACCCATGGCGTCTTTGTGGCTGTGTCCTTTTTTGTGGGCAGGACTTTAAATAAAACCAAAAGGAAAACCACATATGTATATATATATATACATCAATAAAAAGGGTGTCCCGAGCAGAAGCTGGCAACTCGGCGATGTGCGTCTACCTCGACTCAGCCCCCTGCATCTCCTGTAAAATCAAGGGCCTCGCAGCAGTTGCCAAAGGGCATGAGCGACTCTACATTCTCCGGGGTTGTCTCTCCAATGACTGAAGTTTCCATTTCAATGCCGGGAGAAGGACCCGTTTTTTACGGCACCGAGCTTGAAACAAATACACCCATGCCGGACATGGCAGGTCTTTCCTGAGGCAAAGGCCATGAGCAATTCAATCTCCTTCTTCAAACGCAAGGAGAAGGCCTCAGCTCGCGGTGCATCCGTGCCCCGAAAGGCCCGAAAGGCTGAGGGAGGAGCAGTCTGCCAAACCACCAAACCACCAAACCAAACCACCAAGTAGAGAAGTTGATCTTTGGTCGGGTGTAAAGGGAAACCAAAAGGGAAACTACTCATATTCAGGAGTCCACAAATATGAAATACTTCTGAGGGGTCTGCGTTTGTTTGTTTTTTAATGTGTGTGCCCTTTTGGGGTGCACAGTCTTGAGAGGCTTGATGGGTCTGTCTCGGGACCCCAAAAAATGGCTGTTTGCCTCTTGGTTTCCTTGTAAAACCACAAGAAAGGGTCCCCTTTCCTAGATGATGGTTATCAAGCTCTTTGGTGGGTTGCTGGTTTGGTGGTTTCCCATTCATCAAGAAAGGGAGCAGATCCACACACACACACACACACACACGCACACACACACACACACACCACGGTCTTGCCCCCCGTCCGCAGTCCTGGTCGCCGCGTTCTTTGAAAAAAATGGGGCCCCCAGCCTGCAGCCCCCCAAAGTCTCGGAACAGGACCAGCGCCGCTGCGCCGGACACCTAACACATCCCACCGGTGTCTCAAGCTTCCATGTCTTGACTCCAGGGACGAATGAAATGCTTCCAGCCGGCCTCATCCCCAGAGGCACAGGGATTTGAAGTGGAACCATTGAGTCTCTTCCAAATTTCGCCCATTCATACACCCCGGATTAGAATGTTGCAAACTCTGACCATTCAAATCGTGGGATCTCAAGATGAACACACCCTCAAAGGCCTCCCACAAACAAGAAGAAAAACTGCTGAGAGAAAAAAACAACTGGGGAATCTGCTTGCCTGAGACCCAAGACGCATAAGGTTGATATTGATCGTGCAGTTGCGTGACTGAAGAGGAGATCTGGATAAATTTTGGGGGGCACACCCTAATAAGCCGCCAGGTTGATCAACCCTTTTGGGAACCCTGATAATCAAAAGTGTTGGACAATCGATACTGTGGATGGACAAAAATCCGTGGGATGGGAAAAACCCAAGAATACAAAGCACCAATCCCAAGTGGTGCGAAATGGATTGTGTCCACCAAGGATTTAAAGCCCCTGGCCACTAGCGACCTTGCGCTCTAGCCCGTTTTGAGTGGCTCCAATTGTCCAGGGCGATTCGCTGGAACTCCGTTCGGCTTGGTTTCTGGGTCCGCGACAAAACGAACCCTCCCCCAACCAAATGGGCCGTGCTCAGGCTCTTCTCTCATATTTGCTCATATCTCAGGCTCTGTCCTCCTGTTGTCCAACACTGACTCAGAGCCATGTGGAAGCCTGGATTTGTGATGATCCTCACCAAATAGTCACTGTGCACCAGCCACTAAGCTTTGAGCTGCAATGGCCCCCGCTTGCTCTGAATCATATGATTTCCAGGAAGCCCAAAAGGGTTGATCAACCCGGCGGATTACAAAAAGTGTGCCCCCCAAAGTTCGATCCAGATCTCTTGTATCGCCTGCCACTGGCCGCTTCCTCTTGGCCTCAACACACGCGCGCTTGACGCCTCCGCCGCCAACTCCAGGCACCGGAGCAGGGCAGTGACCGCAGGCAGGGACTGCACCTCGGGGGCAAAAAAACGAAGGAAGAAAAAACACGCGGCGGCCGATCCAAAACGCGAAAACAGACGTGCACGTTCACATAACTCACATTATGTGGTAATCTACAATAGATTCTACATATATATTCATATTATGTTATGCAATATTATTATGCTATATTATATTTTATTGTGTTATAGTGGATTATGTTATGTTGTATTATGTATATATATATATAGTGTTAAACAAGTGTTGTCGAATTTGCATATAAACACAAATGTGAACAAATGAGCGTCGACGCAGATGTTACGATATACTAACATATGTGTGTCTGTGTACTCTGTGTTTTAACTCGAATCAAATCATAGCGAGAAGTTGAAATCGCAAGGTTGCGGATCTTCTGGACCACTGGAAGCAACAAGCAACCAACTCAGGTCGACAGAGGATGGGTAGTCTCAAAAAGGAACCTCAAAAACCATGAGAAAAATTGCCTGCTGCTTCCCTTCTGGGCTTGCTGCATCCGTCTTCTGCAGGAGCTCCAGCATTGCCAGAATCATTCCTGCATGCCTGGCGATGCGACTGGCGCAAGGGGCAAAACGCAAGCGGGGCAACAAGCATGACACGTGTGCCATGGTCAAAACTCCAAATCTGTGGGCCCCCCCCCATGGTCACAGCTTCATTCTCAACCCTTGCATGGAGTGTCAACATCTCCAAGGGCTGAATGACCAACCAGTTGTGTTTTGACCATGGATGTCGCGCAAATGGCAGCGGCTGTCCCGAGTTGCACGGTCGTCTGATGGTTGTTGACGGTCGTGATCTGAAACAGATCCAACGCCTCAGCTGGCGCTGGCGGAAAACCTCCGGCAAATCACAGGCTCACTGTCAAGGTCGATGCCGCCAGCAGCAGCTTGTTGTGATCCTCAAGCCTGGCGCGGTGGAAAACCCTCGTGACAAAAAAGGAGCTAAGCTGGGAAAGATGCGTACAGAATCACTGCTGGCCCTTTGGAAGCAAATCCAGATTCAGCCAGAGTTCTAGCAGGGATGTGTCTCTTCAAATGGGCCTGGGGCCCCATTTCCAAGGAGCAAAATGAAATGAATAGGGAACGCGAAGCCGGGCGCACTCATCGGCTTTTGGTTGATGCGCGAGAAGTCCTCTCAGAGCCTTGCTGCAAGCTGCAGAGTCTTGCAAATAGGTCAAATCCTGAACCCGCTTCCGGCTTGTATCACCAGAAATGGTTGTGGGTCAAACATAGGTACCCAAAATGGAACCCTAGCAAGTGGCAACATGGACCAAAACCTGCGGTCCCCTGGTGGTTTAATTTTGACCCACACCCAAATCATCGAAGAAAACACCAACGATGTGGAAGTCCCGTCCAAAAAAAGCATTTTTCCACATCCGACGTGGTTTTCCCTTTGGCACTGGGAGCTTGCGGTACTGAGCCTCCAGCACATGCCAGTATGCCATGTGGCAATGACAGCCCCAGCCTACGTGGCTCGGCTTCAACGCATGGCGGCGAGTACCCCAAAAAAAAAGACGGGGCAAAATCGCGCGGCCGAGAATCTGAGGGTTTCACGGAAAGGGCTCCGTCTGCCCGGACTGGACCGAGCGCGGCACATTTGGGACAGTTGCGATGCTTCAGACCGACCTCGCGTCCGGCAGCTTGCAGATGTGACGTGGTGAGGAAAAAATGAGGGCAAACGGGCAGAAAGACCAACGGATGGAGCGGAAGGCAAGGGCACACACAAGAGGGAAGAGTTCCGGATTCAGACAAATCTGGCCCATATGTGCAGGATTACCCCAAGTTCGCCCAAGCCCCGAACTCGCATGGACCACACAAACGGCTCACTTGGGAGTTCGTGGCTAACTGAATTGACGGGCACCGACTAGGTTTCCCGCGTGGAGTTAACCCTGTCATTTGTGACCCAGGTGGCCCAGGTGGCGCACGTGCGCTCGGGTGAAAAAACAACTCCAGCTCAGCTCCCTGCTGCCAAAGCGGGAGTCCAAGAAGGCGCCCGTCGCCCTGAGCGCAGCCACACCTGGCGAAGCGGAAGAGTAAGGGCCAGAACACCAAAAAGAGGGGGGCGGGGGTCGTTGTGAGGCGTCAGATTTTCAGGGTCGTTGTTTTGCTTCCGCGGATGCAGCTCTCGTTGAAGCCCTTTTGCTGTCCTATGAAGACCAGAATGGTATGAATTCTGGGGAATATCATTTTGCTTGGGGAGTTTCTGTCCCCCCGCTAACCGCTTTTACAACTCTCTCATGGAAAAAAACGCATGGCCGAATCAACACGGCTCCGCTTTGAGAGAAAGGCAATGTGACACATTGGGGGGGCTGCTTACACATGGCCGCTAGGCGACGCCAGATTGGCTGCACATCCGCCGATCCGCCTGCGTCAGGCCCAACTGCTTGAAGACTTTGCAGCCTGGGCCGAAGCTCTCAATGTGGCTGTTGTCAAGAATAGGCTAACCCCAACATGGATCCCTGGTAAATAGAAACATGGACCAAAACCTACGGTCCGATTCCTGGTGCTTTAATTTTGACCCATACCCATGTGTTGAGCAAAGACATATCGTGGACGATCGCGAGTGGAGGCACAAAAATATCTTGGCTGAGGCTTGGGCAGTTCACAAAGCTCTGACAACAGACCAGGCCTGCCAGCAATGCGACATCTCTCACTCAAGTGGGGCACCGTGCTGTGAGGCAAAACATGGCATGTGCATAGGGCAGCATCAGTGCAAAGTCGACCTGTAGACCAGTATCATCAATCTACTGGCAGCTATCTGGCTATGTGTCAAACCCAGGAACCCCTTGTTGCACCCGTGTTGCAGGAACGAACCGATTGGAGGACCCCCTGGTTTCGACACATACCCACCGACGCGCAAACCATGAGCTCTCACACTGGCCTCTTTTGTAGGTATTGCTGCAGAACAAAGGGGCCTTGCCAGACGAGCACCGGCCTCCGATTCTCCGCGCGCCCGCGATCGAGCGCCGGACGGATGTGCTTTACCGCATTGCATATCGCCAGGAGCGATATCGCCACCACCTGCGCAAAGTGGGCAATGGCGATCCCTGAAAACCAGCCCCAGTGCCCCAGCCTCTCGTCTGCCCTCCAAGGATCTGGCTCGGCACCTGACCCAACCAACTCACCCGACTCGCCTCTCATGGTTCGTCCAACCAAATTCTGGGAACCCAACTTTCCATGTTCCTTTGGTTTGATGGGGAAAATCCCGAAAATGGTGAGGGGTTCTTTGGCTTCCCATCAAACTCAACCCGAAATTCTGGGAACCCAACTTTCCATGTCTTTTTTGGCTTCCCATCAACCTCAACCCCCGCAACTCCCGAAAATGGCGACTGGTTGGCCGCATGCGCCGCGGTCGAACCCGCGGTCGAACCCCCCGGTCGAAACCGGCGCGCGCCAGAGACGCAGCTGCAAGGCCAAAGCCGCGCGCGCGGCCGGCGGGCAAGACGCCTCCGGAGATATTGCGCAGCGACTCCAATTTGGGAGTGTCTTTTTCAGGGACCTCCACCCTAAAAACAGTTTGTGTTCCTTTTTCTTCCTAAATGGAGACTGATTTCTTTGGAGAACTGATTTCTTTTTCAGGGACCCTATATACAAACAGTGTGTGTTCCTTTGGTGTCCCATTCAAAGAACAGCAGCATAAAAAAAAAACGGCCTCAAAAACATGTCCAATCCAGGTGCCTCCCTTGTTCTACGTGTTTGGAAACAGAACCCAGTGATTCCAGTTCCCTGTGACCAAACCACCAAGGAAAATGGCCGGGATCTGCGGCTTGCCTATCTAGAGCCAACAAGTGCACAGTCCCATGAGACCGAAAATCCAAACCAAAGAATGGGTCAAATCGTTGACCCAAAAAATGGGGAGATTCCGGTGGTCCTTTTCATGTATCCCTAAAAGGCCGAGCCTCGACACACTCGAGGAAAAAAAAGGAGTCAAGAGTGAGAACCGGAATGGGCCAGGGTCAATTTATGGTTCCGGATTGGTCAATGGGATGTGGTCAGAGAATGGGCCATGGGTTCATAAACCTCAATAAGGCGTTGGTGGGATTTTCGACTGAATCTGACTCGAGATCCGTTCGATGGAAAACCCCCAACAACCTCCATGAGGGCTGCAAAACAAATGGCAAAACACGAATCCTCCGCGGAAGTCCGTGAAGAAAAAAGATAAATAATAAAAACAAAACAAAAACAAGCGCATCCGAGGGCTCGCCTCGGATTTTTGAGGTTTCGTTTTTTGCTTCGTCCAAGCGAAAACGGTTCGGGCGGTGCGGGCTCCGGCCTCCAGCTGCACGCGCAGAGCCTCGATGGCTTCGGGCTCCGCGGCGGCCTGACTCGGCGCCTCGGAGGCGCTCGGAGATCACTTCTTGGTGGGATAAAGCTTTAAATGGGTGTGGGTCGAAATCAAGCCACCAGCAATGGAACCGCAGGTTTTAGTCGATGTTTCCATTTACCAGGGTTCCATTTGGTGTACTATTTTTGACCCATACCCAAATGGGTGTTGGCGGCTCAAGGGCAAATCCATGAATGTTGCTGTGTTGCTTGTCCTTTGTCTAACAAACCCACAAAAATGAAGAAGAGTTCTTCTTGCTGTTGGATCTTTTATCTTTCCTTTTAAGCCCGACCACACATGGCGGGTCTTCAACCAGAAACGACCACACCCATCTCAGGCGGGCACCCTCAGCACTGAAGGCTCGGAAGGATCCGCGGCCTGGTTGACCCCTCCGCAAAAGGCAGAAATCACTTTGTCGGTAAGCTGATTAAAGAGAGCCCGTGAAAAACCGGCGGCACGTATGATCTGGTTCAGGTGAGCCTAAGAAGGGTGACAATCTTTGGCTAGCGCATCGGGCTGGCTCTCATGAGTTGCAAGCCCCAAACTGAACCATCCCTAGTGATTTCCGAGAAAAACCCCACAAACGGCGTATTCGACCCTTGTGACTACTGAGCACGTCTGTCCAACTTCAAGAATCATCTTGGAGCAGAGCAGCACCCATGAGCAACGCTTACATGAGAGTCCAACGGAACCAGGACTGACCGATCCTTTTGCTGGGCACACCCATTCACAAGAATCTTTGGCACCATGGCTGACACGGGAAGCACAAACACATGGTGTGACTTAAAGCGGAACCCACCACATGGAAAGCTTCTCGGTTTCCCGTTTAAAAAGAAGAAGACGAAGCGCTCACTGCCGGGCCATGTCAGGGATCTCGAAGCGGAAGTCCTCGACTACATAATCCTGGGCATGGGCTCTCTCAGCTTGCTCAAGGGCTCGCCACCACTCTCTCAGCCCGGAGCTCGACAGCAGGCATCTCGAAAGCTGCCGCCTTCCAGCACGCCTAGGGCTTCTAAGCACTCTCCGGACATGAGCCGCTTGCTCAAAACCCTTTGTATTAAATGGTCGAAACCCCAGAACCATGCTTCAAGAATTTAGAAGCCGCACGTCCGCAGCTCTTTCTGGCAAGGGGATCGTCTCTGACTAACCCGAACCATCTACCCGAAGGGTCTTGAGCACCTGGCTCATTTTGAGCCCTTTTCGCACCAAACAGGCTGCCTTTCGCCTCAAGTGTGGAACCAAGCGCATTCTTGGCCCAAAGCCTCGGACATCGACTGCCCGAAGCGGAGACCGAACGGATTTTTCTCGAGCCGGGCTCCGCGCTCGGAGCGCCGCCGCAGGCCAGCACCTGAGACCCGCGAAAAGACGCGTTTCTCCTCTCCCGGACATGGTTCTAGGGGTACCTTCCACTTCCACTCTTTCCAGGGATCCGATTCTTTTCAGGAAACCATCCAAAACTCAGAAAAACTGCTGGTTTTGAAAAAGAACGACGGTTGAAAAGAGAATGGACATGGAAAATCAACCCCCAAAAAACGGCCACTGACGCGAGAAAGCCGCCCCAAAAAGCGCCCGCCCGAGCCGCGCCTCCAAGCGCCTTTCCATGGCGGATGCCTGGGGGCCGTTTTGGAGGTGCCGGCCTCGAAGTCCGCGCGGTTGCAGACCCGGGACACATCCCGAAAACGGACCCCAACCACCTGGGCCTTGGCTTCCCCAACGCCAAGCCCAGGAGCGGTTGTTGGAGGAAGAAAACACCGGCGCGAGGGCTTGGAGGAAGCAAAACAGGCCACGTGTTCGTGGATTCGGGCCATCTCCAGTGCAACAAGCATCTGAGTCTGCCGACCCGGTGGGCAGGCAGCCAAGCATCTCAGCGCCTTGCGATTGGCCAAAAAAAACAAAAAACGTCACAGCACCATGGCACCAGGCCCAGCTTCCCTTTGGCTTCTGTCTCCTTCCCACAAACTGAACAAAAGGCTTCCCTCCAAAAGGGAAAAGCCAGCCTACTTGGATCGGCCAAGTCAGCGGTTAGCCCGCGAATCTCACGGGGGACGTTTCTGCGGATTCCCCAGCTCTCCCAACTCCGCAGATCGGAAGCCGAGGTGGCCGCTCCAAGGAGCACCTTCAGCTCGGAACCTCGCGGCCAGAAAAACCCGCAAGGGCCGACCCCAGATTCTGGTAACCCCTCAGGGAAAAAAAAACACACACACCAACAACCCGTGTTGGGTGGAGGAATCCAAAAGGAAAGCCGAAATCGTGCCCCTTCAACCACAAACCCATGTGGGTATTGTTCAAGAGAAGGCCACCAAAATTTTCTCTGTCCGTTTTAGCTTCCCTGTAAGACCAAGGGATTCTCATTTGGCAAGCTGTACCCGCCTCGTGTTGCGTTTCTATGCCAGGCTAAAGTCACGTGGGAGGAGACTTCAGAAAAGACATGACATTCTGAAGTGGTCGCTTCGTGCGATGGAACTCCTCACCTGCGCATTGAAATCGCTGGTTGCAAAATCACTCACACATCGAGGTCCACGCACTGCAAAAGGTCTCGTAATCTCTCGACAGGACCTGCCAAGCAAACAGGCCCCGAATTTTGTTCAAATGTGGGTCTCTTTGTTAGGCTGTTTGGGTTTGGCTTGAAGGGAACCCAAAGAAACCAGTGGCTTTGGGGGTCCCCCTATGTTAATACACACCCATGTAAAGGAGATTCGTATTTGCGAGCCTCGTGGACACGCGCCGCTGCGAGCCGAAACCACAACTTTCCGCCCGTGCGGATCGCTCGGGATCTATTTGGTCGCTCAACGTCTCTTATCCCCAGCGATTCCGTGTGGCCCCAGCAGTTGCATCATGGGCAAGCGGCCTTTCAAGTCCTGGTGGAGGAAAACTACATCGTGTAGTACGCGAAGCACCTGCAGGTCTCGAGCCATGTGAAACCGACACTCGGCGAATCCAAAAGCTGGCAAACCTGTTCCTTGCAACGTGATGGTGCCCCAAAATCCTCCCCCCACCCACCTGTAACCAACCATCCAAAAATCACTTCCAAAAATTAACCTCCAAAACATCCCTTCCAAAATCATCACTTCCAAAAAAACGCGTCCAAACAATCACTTCCAAAAACAAACGTCCAAACAAACAAAAGAACCTGCACTTCACCCATCCAAAAAGAGGCGCCGCAACCTCAGACGCGGCCTCGCAGACCAGCTCCTCATCCGGCGCATTGGGCGCCTCTCGCTGTGGGTCCGCAAAGGCCTCGGGCTATGGGAGAGACCCGAGAAAGCTCCGGAAGGTGACGGTCCATCGATGGAACGATGGAGGTTGCTTTGTGTTTGCTTTGGCTTGATATGTTTTTTTGGGTTTTGCGTGTTTTTTTGTTTGTTTTTGTGTTTTGTTTGTTTGTGTTTTTCCTTTTGGGGGGGGAAGATGGATGGGAGCTCTTACGGGAAAATGATGTTACTTGACGGCCTCACGGGTGTTTCTCAAAGGAGCTGGGCCCCCAATGGCTTCGCAAAGCAGGAATCGCCCCCAAGCGCAACAGTCTCCTTTTGGTGTCCCTTTGAATATGAACCAAAATGGCTCCAGCATTTGAGTGTCGATCTTAGACGGCCCTTTGCCTTCGGTGGATATCATTCAAAGTAAGACAACATCTCCGCAAAGCACTTTGGAGGGCTCCCCATGGGAAAATAACCTCGCGGCGCGGGGTTTTGGTGCGTCCAGGCCGCTGCCAGGATCCCATCGCAGCGAGTCAGCACGGGCTGCCATGAGGCAGCAACCTCGGTCCGTGCAAAAATTGACCACGCCAATTGGGTGTGGGTCCTTTTCTCTGGGTTCCCCCCCAAAATGAGTCATAATCAAAGCCCGGAATTAAAATGGTCTACCAAGAACCATGCTTCAAGACTTTAGAAGGCGGCGACTCTTTGTGGCTGGGAGTCTCCCTTACTAACCTCCAACCAAAGGGTTTTGAGCACGTGGCTCAAATGAGTCCCTTTTGCACCAAACAGGGTGCCTTTCGCCTCAACACATGTGGGGCAAGCCCAGTTTTGGGAGCCCAAAGACTCAAATTGCGACCCTCGAGCCCAGCTTTTTCCCGAATGGAACAGAATTGGAATCGAAAAGAAACCTTGCCCAAAAAATGCCAAAGCAGCAACTGAAGTTGGCATGTCTTCTTTCGGGGCTCCCCGTTTTTGTTGGCTTCAAAGTGAAACCAGCCGGAAATCACCTACATGGGGGACCTGCTGCCGAACAACAACCTTTGTCTCATGTTGGGCGGAATGCAGTACTGCTGATTTCCCACACTGGCATTCAGATTGCTCCAAGGCAGCACGCTCGCCGCTCGTGTCCGAACCCATCTCACGAGGAAGGCTTCGCATCGTGGCCCCCGGCGCACCGCTCCCAGCTCTGCACCTTTAGGTGCCGCAGCCGCCCCAGCAGCTCAGCCTGTTGCTGCGGTCAAAAATCGGGCAGCCCCAAACGGGGTGCCCTGCCAAGTGGTTTCCATGGAAAACCTGCGGTCCCCAGCGTGGTTTGATGTTGACCCATATTTGTGGGGCTTTTGGGTGGTTTCCCAGAAGGGAACTGGTACCCTGTGGTAGTAGAGGTCGTTGATTTGGTCCCTGGATCTATTCCGGAGAGAGTCCAATGTGCCAATATGGAGGATTGGAGGATGGATTGTTTCTGGTGGCTTGTGTTGACTGTGAATCCTGTAAAGCGGTCTGCAAGCCTTTTTATCAATGTACCATGAGTCGAATGACTGTACAAATGACTTGAAGGGCCTTGAGCCATCATGTTAGCGGAGTGTGTGAATAGGTCAATGTGCAACAAAAAGCAACACAAAACAGACACAAATTTCTTTTGACCTTTCACACCAAAGTGTATGATTGCCGTAGCCATATTTGAAAGTGCCGTAGCCATGTATTGTTACAATGATTCATCCAATTTTGGCGCGGATGATTTGTCTTGTGAGCAAAATGGTAAACAGTCTGTACTGGTTCTGTGAGATACCTAGATGTATCGAAAAGGTGATGCACAACGCTATGTACATGCGGGACGAATGTGAAGCTATTGATCTCTCACTGAATAGTCTTGTTGGCGGTGAGGATCAATCTCGTTGTAGTTCGTAGTGTCGATTGTGGGAGTCTTCGAATAAGTGCCAAAGGTGGCTGTTTCATCAAGTGATCAGCGGTACCACCGCCTTCTGCTCTCTTATTGACTGCCATAGTCTCCATAATCATTCCAGCTCAAGTCTCCATATTCTTTCCATTTCTTTGGATTGCCCCAGTACTTCTTGTTGCACTCCTTGTACTCTTGCTGAGTCCAGGATTGCTTCTTCTTGAGGTGCTCCTTGGATCTCTCAAAGTTGCGTTGCCTGGCGGCAGATCTGCTGCGGATGTAGACCATCAGCGGACTGTGCGAGTCGGAATCTTGTGAGCCATTCATGAACATATCGTTGTTCACGCGCTTGATGCGTTCCGCGGATGAGACCTGATAGTCGAAAATGGCAGACGTTGGATCGTTCCGCATGGCTTCCAGCTGTTCATCTCTCATGGCGTTCATCTCTTCCTTCCGGAAAACCTGCTGGATACTCGTTTTGCCCCGTCCAAACACGAATGTCATCATCACATCTGGGAATGTTCGGTCATACCCTGATCCAGTCTTCATGTGCAAATGATGACGGACAATGGATTTTAGGGTGCATGAAGTCTTGATTGCATACTCCATTCTGTCCACGAGTGGCAGATTCTCCGTTTCATTCCACAATCTCTGATATTCCTTCATGAGGATATTCATGAGACCTTTGGTCGGATTGAAGACGTGCTGGAGTCTGCTGTAGGTATTCGCGGATTTGTTGGCGTTTGCAGTGATCGCATCACATTGGTACAATGTCATGAGTGGCAGGATTTCGCTCTGAAGATCTTCCCGTGCTGCTCCATGGCTGATTGATGGATGAATGTGGAAAACTCCAATGGTAGCAAACGGGAGGTCTGCCCTCGTTACGCGGCGGCTGTCAAACTCGAGGAGTGATTTGTTGGATGATTTTGGGAGCATGCCACGATACTCGTCACTCTGCTCGATGTGGAGAACGACAATCTCTTTGTTACGTCCGTGTCCTTGGACAGTGGTGCGTGGTGGCAATCTCGGTCCAATGTACTTCTTGGATTCAGTAAACATGGATGGTCCCGTAGTTGCCAAGCAGTCCGAGGTCGGAATGTCGTGTTCAGGATCAGTGCAATTTTCCTCGGATCCGAAGAAACATCTGAACATCCCGAATGTGGTTCCCCAATTCTGACTCTTTGTGGAAATGTGTCTTGCCAATAGTTCCACTCTTGCGGAAGGTCCGCCGCGGACAAAGCATGCAATTGGTCTGGATGACCATTGCTTGATAACGATGCCCTTGTACCCGAATCGGATGAACGTCTTGATGAGTTCTCTGGATTTATTATCTTGAGGACTGAGGAATGCGTCTGCTTCATTGAGGCATAAGATGTGTGCGCTGTTCTGCATCATCATCTTCACGATTGGTCGGTCCTTCATTGGCATGTTGTACACCTCCCTGCCGTCCAGCTTTGGATTCCTCGTGAGGTTTCCATGGTTCATAGTAAGCATGTTGATCGTCAGGGATGAGGTGAACTCATGCGTCTTGAGATGGTTTACAGAGGGACGGTCGGTCGGCTGCATCAGCGATCCCAGGATGTCGGCAAATGCTCGAATGACTTCTGGGTTGTCATGTGATCTAAGCTTCTTCAATCCCAGTGGAAGCTTAATCGGATATCCTGATACTGGCTGCGCCTTCCGGTACTCGTCCATGGTGGGACATTCTCCTCGATGGCGGAAATAGAACTCTTTCTTCGAGGTTGACATCGGGATCGACGTGTGCCAATGAGGCTCTTTCGCATTCTGTCAATTTAGGATGAGCTGTTCTCGGATCCTTGTTGCACTTCTCCATGAAATGGAGGAAGTTCTTTTTGGTCTCCACAAGCTCCTCCTCGGCGTCCTTCTTGCTTATTTCTATTTTGAGGTAGATCTCCTTCAGTTCCTGGATGAACTTGTCTAGGTTCTCAGGATTTGGATACTCCATGGTGACCTTTGGCTTGACGGATCTCTCCCCGGAGGGTTCCATGTTCTCCTCTTCAACCTCGTCCTGATCGGTGGAGCGCCGTCGCTTCTTGGTCTCTGTGGATGTATCTTTCTCAGACTTTTCCTTGTTTTTGTGGTCATTTTTCACATGTTTGAAGAAGGCATCGGCGAACTCTTGGATCTTGCTGTTGTACATCTCAATGTCTTCACGACCGAGATTTTCTTCATGATCCAACTGTTACTCATTATGATGGTTCCCTCGGAATCAAATGCTGTAACAATGTTCCTCGCCTCGATGGTTTGATCTGTCAATGCTGTTCGCTCTTCGGAGAGTCGGATGTCGTAGTCCTGAGGAATGCCAGGATCAACAAAGCATCTCTTCCTGTTGGCACATGTGTCAATGCGGCTTCTGACGCTTCGTCATCAAGGATAACGCCGTCGATGCATGCCACGTGGATGTGCACTCTCCCCGAAGGGTTCGACTGGGATCTCCCAGATTTCAGCCCTCCATGATGTTGATCAGGTTTTCTCCATATGTAGCATGGAACATGAAAGTGATGGGCTTCTTCGCGAACGGCTTGATCTTTGTCTCTTCTTCAATGGGTTGAGGCGCCGGCCTTCGCATTCTGGACTTTGCCTGAACTGCGCCTTCGTATTCATGGGGCGCGTCTGATCTTGACGGATGCGGACTTGGAGGAATGGATTCCGTTGGAAGGTCATAGTCCGGTTCCTCTTGGCGAGGCTCACTCTTCTGCTCGGAGTACAGGGGTCGTCCAAAAGATTGGAGATCGACTTGTCGCGTATGACCGCTGTTGCATCTCACATAGACCTCCATGTCGGGATCATTTGGGAATTCCTTGCCATTAGGCCGGAGTGCATCGTATGCGGATCTGGAGTTGAGATTGTCGATCCATCGATTTCTTGGAACAATGTCTCCCCTTGCCTTGCGCTCATTGTATGACCCGTCCACGGATGGATACACGAACGCAATCTCGAAACGTGCCTTTCCATAGTTCGGGAACATAGCCATCAAGAGAAGTCCTGGCTTATTGCCCATGAAGTTCCTGGCATGCGTAACGCAGGTCAATGCATCGTAGAGCTCAACGGATCCATCAAGACCCATGTCCACTTGTCGTTTGCATTCTCTGTGTTGGCCTAGCGTGGAATCATGTCGGAAACATCCGGAAAACAATCTGCTCAATCGCTCGATTCGCCAGAGGATGAGGTCGGTGATCTGTTTTGCCTTGGATGGATCCATGTGGAAGTATTTGCACACCTGCTCAACGTTCTGGACGGTCTTCTCGAGATCGATATGGCGGTTGTGACATACCATCGGAATGATGTCTGTTCCGAAAACTTCTGTGGTATAGCAGCAAATGCTGTAGACCTTCTTGATGAAGTCCATGTATTGTTTCTCTGTATGTGGACCTTCACCTTGAAGCGTTGGCTTCCAGTAATCATTGAATCTGGCCTTCAACCAGCATACCTTGGCTCCATGTTGTCGTTCATGCTCAGGGATGAAGTGGGATTCGGGGTTCGTCTCGAGGATGGTTGAGCACTCCTTGTAGCATTCGTACACGAAGTGGAGGAATTTAGAAAGGTCCTGGATGTACGGATTCTTTCTGGAGGCTGATGTCCGTATCTGATCCATCTGGTACATGCCACCGGTCGTTGGATGTGAGAGTTGGCCGCATCGCTGGTCGCCTTGGATGTGCAGGTCGGTCACCAGGATGATTGTCGGATTCTGTCTCCTCATCCAGGATGTTCTTAGGCGCTGGCTTCATCTTTGGCATAAGCCTTAGTGTTGTTGGTGGTGACTTTGGAACCAGTTTTGGATGTGGCATCGCCTTCAGCATTGGGTTTCCTGCGAGAGGTTGCTCTTCGTCATCCAGGTCATCATCGTTGTCGGTATCACGATCATAATCAACCTGCTCCATGTTGACGTTTTCTGGTTGTTGAGAGGTGGATGGATTCTCATCGACGACCTGCTCCATGAACCAGTCGGATGCCTCATCTTCCTCATCACGAGCAGGGGATTCCTTCAAAGGAGATGCCCGTCTATTCACCAGCGGCTTCGGCGATGGAGCCGCAGTGCTGGATTGTCCGAAGATCACGTTGAGAAACGGCATGTCTTCGAGGTGATCAAGCATACACGACCGCAAAGGTCGGAATGGTTGTAAACCGACAGTGGCTGCGGATGCAGACACATATTTCTTGAGATTCAAAATGGGTCAAGTGCAAAAACACGCATCACGGATTTGAGGAATTGAAAATGTGCAAAATGCAAAACTCATGCATCAGAATTCTTGGACATGTGGATCATGCCCAGGTTCCCCAATAAGCAAACATGGATTCTGCTACAC